CTTCATATTTCTTATTAGACACCCAGATGTTCGCAGCTGCTTTATTTAAGTTGCAGCGTACGACAAATAGGCAGCCAACAACACACATTAAAGTCAAATCGAATTTGCACGAAAAAACACATCGAACAAGACGTAGCCGTTACATTACAAACAAACAAATTATTGCTTGATATGTGCCACATTTGCATGTAATATGAACAAATTCTCATTAATTTTGTTAGTATGCAATATAATACTGGTGACATGTTGCTTTTGAAGACGACGCGGCTGCAATGATGATTCGAACTTACTCTACATATGTGTATTAATTATACTGACAATAGGAAAAAGAACAGTTGTAATATTAAAATTTGCTTATTTAGTCGGGTTGATTTTACGACCGCAATAAATCAATACCCTCATAAAAATATTTATTTCTTCAAATGATGTAACAATACACATAAAATATATCAGATACATAACTAAAAGTTTATTAATGTGATATGTTTGAGTATGTAGCAGGTATTGATAAGAGATTTATTTTTTGAAATGTGACAGCTACTTACTTTGTCAATTTCAGTTAAATGTTTCAACATTGTCGTTTACGTCTTGAGATCACGTCAAGTTGATTGATGGAAATGATCAGCGCGAAATTGCAAACATTGTTTTTTCGTTAGTATGTACAGTGGCGGGAGAGTTATTAAACGGCGATAATTCAAAACGGAAAAATTCAATTTCGCGATAAACGAACTTTAATGAGCAATCTAATCGGCCCTTTGTAAGCCACAAAGACTAACCAATAAAAATTGATTTCTCTTCGGCTCTACAATATATTACGGCTACTTTACGACCGCACAGTTATTATTGTACGGATTTTAGGTAAATTAGCTATAAATTATTTACATTTTGAATGGGTAGTTAATTGCAGTGCAACATAATGATCCGGATTGGTGAAGTGAATTACTGACGCAGCATAATCTAATAAGACTCGACGCGCATTAGCACATAATAAAAAACGGTTAATTAGATTTTTAATAATTTGCATCGAACGGAAGTCGATAAACTAAACTCGAAGAGCTGCAATAAAACATAGCAGGAAATATTTTGAAAGCAATATAATTATAGGCTCAAATAAACTCGTAAAATAGGTTTGGGAGTTTGTTAACGTCCGACCTGCGAGCATAAACCTAAATAAAATATTTGGAAAAAGCTCCCGCAGGTAGCGCGCTACAAAAAAAGGAGCTTGTTATAATTAAAGCGGCATTCGTTAAATGAATTTTTTCAATCTCGCTGATAATCGATTCTACTCGTTTAATCACATAATCAAGTAAACACTTCCGACGATTACACCATCGATTTATTTAATTCTTTGAGTGTGGTAGCGATTATTGACAAATCAATTATTTAGTTCCAAGCCAGTCAATTACTTAGCCATGTTTGTTCGAGCGCTAATCAAATAATTAACTCGAAAAATCGCCATCATTCAAATTCGCCCTACTGTCAATTTAAATTGTCAGTCAGCACAATACCCGAAACGGGATGGACAGGGAATGAGCGAGCCCTGCCAGATCCGTAATTTATCGTTTCAAGATATTAAAAATCTCAGTTTCGGATACACAAAGGAAAATTCATTCGGATTGTTTAAGAAGTTTGCCGGGTATTTTGCAAACCATTCCAATAACTTAAGAAATGTTTGCTGTGGTTTTACCGATGGAGAAGACAAGATACTTACGGAATGTTAGACCACCAGATGCGGGTTAAATTTTGTGTTTCGTTTGCTGCATAAATACCTAGTTTAAAATACTAGTGTTTTTAACGCCACCAAACTCTTACGCTTGTTATTTAAACATGGTCCCATAACCTAATGTGTATTTTACGTTTGCGAACTATTCATATCGATAATTAGTTATAATTATAACGTTGATAAAACAAAAAAATACGCACAAAGACGTTTATCTTAACGTAGTATTTATGTTTAGTTCGGAATGGATACGTATTTTGGAAAGCTTTTTGAGTGTTGTCCGGGCAGTGTCGTTAGATTGACGTCGGGGCGATTTCCGGCGCAACGACAATCCAACTCGCGACATTAATAATGTCTGAAGAGTTGTGGTGTGCGGCCAATAAAAATGGAAGTCCCGTTTTATTAACAATTTGGTTGTCATCAATCAAATAAATTGGTGCCTCGAACATCTAAGCCCGCGTTGGATGAAGTCGATTATCAATTTTTAAACAACATTTGGAGCACATTTTTGTCATGAATGTAAATATATTTTATTAAAGTACGGACATACAATGTAATTTACGTCGAGCAAACCATATAACTTACAGACCATTGAAGCGAAAGTAAGCGTTTTCAGAAATTAGCTGAAACATATGTGACGGCATCGCTATGATCTTATTTATAGAGCTCGAACTGTCAAGAGAGGAGTGCACCAAAGCTAATAGCTAATGCATAAAGCACCTAATTATAACACTAACATAACATTTCTCTTCAAAGATCCTAACGCCTACAATGTCGGCTCGCCGAAACGAATACCGAAAGTTTCATCTCAAAGCTTTTCGTCACTTATTAGCTCGTAAAAACTACGAAAGTATAGTAAGACAAATTAGTAAGCTCGCGCTTTTTATTACCCCTTGCGCCTGAGCCTCCACTCCAATTGTAAGCTCACCGCTTTGTGCTACCGTTTTTGTTTGGATTACGATAATGAGCTCGTCGCACCACAATCATCATTTAGGCATAATTAATACCCACATGGCGCAAAAGCGATCCACGCGCGCTCACAATAATCGCATCCGCCCGAGTCTACGCGCTGTATTCGTTAACCGTTTCTGCGTACCGCAGTTACCATTTGATATATGGTACCGCTCCGAGAAAAACAAAAGTGTGTGCTAGAGTCGCGACAGATGAGGTGACAACAAAGGAGCGGATGTTGCAGAAATGAATCTAGACCAAACATTGCGTGGAACTCTCGACTACGACTCGCACATAAATTAAATAAACATTTTTCTCCCAACAGAAATTACACCAAAATTTGCCCTTGGAAGAATAATTGTTTAGTCTTTCAATGTTACGTATAGCTACAATGTAAAGAAAGTATTACAGTCCGAGGTACTATCACAAGGTGCTTAAACTTGAAGGATATTGATAATAAAAATACTAAGATCATTTATGTGTACAACAAATAATGGTTTCTTAAGGAACTTCAAGTACCTGTTGTATACAGTATATATACTGAGCTTTCATAAATGATTCCGCATCTTTCGGATTGAATGTCTTCCATTACTAAGGAATTTTGTAGACAGATGATCTAAAGATAGTGGATAAATATTCAGGATTGTTTAAAATCGGATCTTTTGTCAACCCTTGGTTGCACCTCGGGTACAGACTTCACTACGCGCCATGATACCAAGACTATTTGTAATAGTGCTTAAATTAAGACCAATTAATTTTTATTAATATTTCCTTTATTTACACTCAAGTTCACAAATTAGTTACGGATAATTTTCCAATTTTTTAAGTTTATCAATACGTCAGGAAGGTCATAGGAGCTGGGGTCCCGCCGGGTAAATGCCAAGTTTTTCTGTTTTATGTCTTTTCGTGTATTCTAAGCGTCAGAGCTTCGTTATTAGTATTCAAAAAATCAGTACAATATTCAAAACCGTCTAAAATCCTTCGGAGTGTACGTATTTGAATTTTCAATTTTAGACTAGGACTGTGATTCAAGTAATAGTATGACGTATGTCACTGTCAATAGTACAAACGCCGCAGAATCGTTCGAAACGGTTTAAACACGTTTCAGGGTGACGTTTGAAAAAAACGACGTAGTTCTTTTAGGGGATTTAAAAATGAACTCTAGGAAGTGGTACTATAGAAACAATTGACGTATGATAATGAATTATTTTGAAAGTTCAGTCGATGATACAATTGATATTTGTAAGGGGTTAAAACATGATGGCAGTGATCCGCCCGAGTCCGAACGGTATTTTTTGGGAACTGCGGTAGTGATTAGTTGGGGCGGGGTAGCTGTGGGTAGGTTTTGAGAAATTTGTGCGTTTGTGGGAGTCGTGAGAAGTGTGAAGGCATGTACGGAGCGAATAAAAAGGGATCAGTCGGTGTGGAAGCGAATCTAAACGGGCTATTATTAGTGCGGTCGTAAGGGAGGATATAACGGAAAGAATTTGCATGAATGGCCGGTAAGCGGCATGTAGACATAATTCAATTTGAGATGAAAGATCGGCGGTAATTGTCGATTATTTAAATTAGGAAGAAGTTAAAAGTGGGCGCTTGTGAGTTAATATTTGAGTCGTGTAAGTTTGTAGGCAATTAGTAGGAACACGAGTCTCCACTGGAGGGACTAAATGAGGCTGGTATGAGACAGCTGCCGCAGTAACTCATCATAACTCCTCTCGTCCCCCGGCCGCCCCCGCCAACAGCTCTAAACGCCTATCGTCGTATTTACACTGATTGTGAGATTCGAGCTATTAAGTAAAAAGCTTCATCATTAATAAACGTGGCATTCTGCGTACAGATGTTTTATTTGGTTCTTAATATAAACATTAGTAATTGCTCCCCGCCGAACGATTTTCTCGACTCGGAAAGTTTTTGTCGTCATTTTTTAGCTGGCATCCCACTCCTGATCATTATCTGGATCTCAATTCTTTCCCAATACATATTGACGGGTCTTTTGTCTAGTCTCCTTAGATGATTATCTTCGAGAAAAGTTGCCATCAAGATAAGTTCCAGCAGGAATGATATATAGAGGAAAAGTTCCCAGGACATGCAGCAAAACGCCGCATTAACCGGGAAAATTATTATAAATTAGTTGCAGGGAAAAATACCACTTTGTCAACTTGTTTTCGTTCGAATTTAAACGAGGGCCATAAATCCTTATGGATTCGAGAATTATCAAATGAATGAAAATTCCTAAACGCTTCTTTAAGGATGGCCATTTTTCACCGAACCGTCGTAATATAAAACTTCGACTTAACTACCGCACAACAAAGAGAAATAAAAGTCATACCTGAGTTTCAGTAACATTAAGTAGCTTGGCCATCTCCGATCTTTCGCTGCTACTCAGATACTTCTTCATTTCGAACTGCTTTTCCAACTCGAAAATCTGTCTTCCTGTGAACGTGGTCCGAGCTTTTTTCTTCTTACTTTTCGCATCGCCGTCTTCCGCTATGGATTCGGTGGGGTGCGGGGGATGAAGGGGGCCCGTTGATAACTTCAGATCCAGCGGTTCCCTAGTCTTTTTTCTCTTTCTTGTCGGTTCTGGAAACAAAACCACAATTATTCATTTCTACATCACCTCGAATACAACCCATAATTGTTGCCGCATCTCCCCGCAAAGCCCTCCCCAAAAACGAATTAAATTAAATTGTCATTCTTTCCTTTATGTTTCGATTTCTGCAGGCACACGCCGCTGGCTCGCTACATTTATCAGGTTTCACAGAAATTCTATTTATTACAACTACATCAAAAATCGCGATTCGCGCCATGTTTTACCCGACTCGAACCTTTTCGAGCGTTCCTAATTCCACAGAAAGATAGAATAATAAAATCACAACTGTGGCGGAAATAACATAAAAGTACTAATATTAGTTCTTACCCCACTACAAGTTACTACGAATGACGTGACGCCACGTAAAAATTAACCTTTATTCCCTATACATTGATAAGCAATACGTATAAGTCACAGATCTTTTCTCCTATACATATTGGAACATCTTTTCAGTCCAATATATCTTTTCTCCGAATTATGTCGTATGTGGTATTACGTTCCTAATAAATCTTCTTCTTGCATCTTGTTACTTAAATCGATTGTCGGTTCTATTTCTAGAAAAGCATTTTTACTTACGTTTTTAAATTATAGGTAATATAATGTAATCCAGAAAATTCTGTTAAGCCTTATTAAAAAAATCGACAACTTTTTGTCTTGAATTCTTGACAGCGTTGTATCATAGAAATTAGCAGTCAGAAAAACATATGACAGTCCTAATTTCACACTTGGCGGGCCGCCTAATGAACTCAAGCAAGTTCAACGTTCAGTGTAACACACAACACAACCCAATTTTAACCGTGTATGTGGCTTCTCAATGGATAGAGAAAAGAAACGTAACTATTTTTTAGGTATATATCACGTACTTTTTAATTATGACTATCTGACAAATTGACACTGAGGTTAACAAAGCACGCCATCTAGAGCTGATCTTTACAGTTATTTTGTTCTTTGGCACTGACATTTGAGCCCCGATGTTGTTAAACCACACTTCATAAATTACTTCACAAGAATTAATATTCTAATCAACTGATGACTTAATAGTGTGGTTAGCGCTGAAAGTATCATTTAATTACTTTAATAGTGTCTTATCTGCAAACAGGAATAAACATGTTCCAACGGCAAGCTAAATCGTGGAATTCAAAATTCAGCCCAATCAATTTAACGGTCGAAAACTTTCGAAAACAATGGTGGTATTATTCGGCTTATTATACTTTAATGAACACATTATCATCGATTTATTTGTGTATAATAGCATATTGATTCGAGAATTTACCCAATTGTAGGTAGCAGCAGTTGACAAATTTAATTGCCCATTAAGTGTTAATTGCCTAGTCAATAATTACTAAATCTACATCTGCACTAACCCTACCTACATCCAAACCAACACAAACAAAACGATTCCCTGGAAATGTCACAGTTTTTTTCCGGCTTCATCGTCCATCGATAATTTAAACCCGTCTGCTCATTAGCCGATTTACAAGTTTTTGCAGCCCGATATTCGGAAGAGTTCATCACGGTGCAACTTTTGCATCAGCTCGTCGGAAAAATAAATCAAAGTAAATAAGATTTTTATTCTTGTTGGTTTTAGCACCTGAGTTATTTTTGAACAATGACGTTGTTTTCCACCGCGACGGAGAATTTAATCATCTGTCAATATTTTTTTACGCGGCGGACGAGAGAGACTTTATTGCTACACAAGTGCTCGGAAGGGTGCAAATTTTAAGTTTTTGCGTTGTTACCACGTTAGGGATTTTTAAATGGACGCAGTGACTAGAAACAAAAAAATCATAGATTGCTGTTGACCTATTTCGTGGACTCTATTATATTCTAAAAACTATCTACCGATTAACATGGGAATCCTAATTACATGGAAATATAGTCGTCGTGTCAGCATGGAAATGCCGTTTCTAGGGATAGCAAGTTTTGGATTCGCCGTGCTCTGGGGCGGTAAATCGTGTGTTAAATGAGCCGTGTGTGTTGGTAGTTTTGGTAGTATTTGTTTGGCCGGGTCGTAAAGGTGGCAAGGCCGCGCGAGCCATTAATGCATTCTTTATAAATCATTCGTGAAATCAGAAGCAATAGACGATATAATTGGGTGGCACCTATATGAAAAGTGTTTCAGCCTAATGACATTAGTGTATATAATTGATGAAAAGTGGTTATTTAGCAGTTATACTTATATTTAGAAATGAAGCAACATCGTTCAATACACGATCAGGACTGGTAAAAAGTAGTAAAATTGTGTTAACGTAATTACGATGGGATTAAAATTGCAATTAATCGTAATTGAAAGTTTGCGGCGCGCGTTTTCGCCCCGGCACGCACTTTGGAAAACATTAGTCTTATTGATTAGATTTATTAGTTAATTAGTTTAAAACGTCTCGTCGCATGTTTATGTATCGGAACTTTGACGAGTGGGTTGTTAGCCACAGCTTAAAATAATTACTCATTAAAGACATTTTATAGTTGTTAATAGATCGTTAATTGGACGAATTCTATCGATTTATGATTAAGAAAGCTGTCCTCTTTCCCGCGATAAAAGTTGTGGGAACACAGCAAAACAGGACGTGGTTGCATTTTTGCGGCAGGAAGAGCACTTTATCCAGAAGAAATCAAAGCGTTTTCATCAGGATGACAAAGTGAAATTAAAATTTCGCCGAGCACCGCTCGGGGTGGATAAATCCTAAACAAATATGATTGTTTCGTTCGTTTTTATGCTGCGTCGTTTAATGGTTGAAGTAATTTTCGCTTTACAATTTTAAATAAATTCGCTTTGATTGACAGTTGAACTCCAAACAAATGTTTATCCGTGGCCATTATGGAAACAAATGAATTTTTTGTTCGCAACTAAATCGCTACATTTGTTAGATGCGATGACGATTTAAAAACACTTTTTCAATGGAAGTGCTTTAAATATAGTTTTAACGAGAATGAAGTGATTATGTTTCTGATACAATTTTAACAGCTCTGCGGTTCTTCTTAAAGAGTCGACGACAAATTTATGGCCGTGCTATATATACAAATTTTCTCTTAAAAGCCGGCGTTTTACTCAGTGATACATCTCGCCCTACAATCCAAATCCAAACACCAAAACACTATAAACGTGCTTCCTCATTTTAGTCAATAAACAAAAAGCGGATCCATTACAGCTAATTTTATTTATAATTCACACTCTCGAGACACTTACAACCCCATCGTCGCTACAATCTCAAACCACCCAAGAACCGGTTATAAAACCTAAAAACCGGTTTCAACCTAAAAATGTCAACCGGTTTCGCACAAACCGGCTGCAATTATGTAAAAACCGACCTACTAAACTTCACGTCTGAAAAATGTCGTTTTAGCAGCAGGGCTAACAAAGACCGTCTTCCTCTGCGTAATCCGAAAATTATTACATCCCCTTGCATCACCTGTCAGTAAGAGCTTGAAAAACTACGTTACGAAAAACGGAGATTTAGCAACATGCAGGGTGAAATTGAAATGATAAATCTCGTAAATATTTTAATGGACACAATCCCCGGAAGTCAAAAATTTAAGGGTGGGAAGGGACAAGATGATGTATTCGCGTGCTAACAAAAATTTTAATAATTTCCATTATGAAAGTGTAAATCCTCGTTTTTGTATTTAATGGGGCCGGATCTCAACCCTTTAGCCACATTATTTTCTGCTTATTAACATATCAGGAGATGGCAAAATGAGCATAAACACGAGTGCGGTCCTTGTTTAGCAAGAAGAGTTTTAATTGTGTTTGATGCCTTCATCACCGAGGGAAATGTATATACAAGGTGAGGGTTAATTTGCGGAAAATTGATTTTTCCTCAAAATTTCGGATAACCCAAATGAACGCACTTTTGTTTATGTGGAACATGATGCCCACTTTCACAAGCTATCAAGAAAAATATATACGAATATATGTTTTAATTAAAAACACGTTTCAATAAACAAACGTTAATAATGCTGTAAGTAGGTGTTTTATACACAGATGTGCGCAATGGTCGAATAACAGCAAAGAGATCATTTTTTCTAAACGTACCTAAATAGGTACTTCCAGCGGATGGACGCAGCAACACCCTAACACTGAAAGTAAGTTTTTCGTTATAATAAACATTTATTTGACAAATTCTCGGTTGTTCAACTTAATATTTTATATTTGTAATCATACATATTATTATTAATTGTTTAGTGCCTAAAATACATTACCGAAAAATTCTCAAAAACGCCATTTTTGCATTTTTGATTAGATTTAAAAAATAACAATCGATCTTCTTAATTTTTATATGCGTTGTACAAAAATAAAACGTGCAAACTGCCAGTAGTACGCTTTGCATTTGCGTTTTTATTTGGATAAGATATCTTGGAGCAAATGAACAAATTGAGAAATTATAGACATTATCAAATTACAGGTTGTTTGTTTTCATAAGAACGTCATGTATGAAGTGTATCGTATAAAAAATTATCGGTATATGTTTAGGTATTATTTATAGCTAAACAGTAATCCTTATTAATTGGGTGAAACGTGGGTCGTGACAATTTAGTATTCCAGGTGCGAAAACCTGCATTAATGGACTGTATCCACCTATTTTACAAGTCGAAGTGTTAACTCCTGTTTTATGTGAAAACAAACAAGAAGTTGTAAGATTAACTTACATAAACAGAGCCGCATTATAAAGTTGGTAATAGCGCATAATCTTAGTTCTTTGTTTCTGATGTAGTGTTGATAAATATCGATTAAAGTAACAAATCATTTAACCATTAATGGTTAATTGGTTTAAAACAGTAAGTTAGAAGAGCGAAAACGTTCAACGTAAAATCTGCGATTAATCGCATATAATAATTACGGAGCAACGTTACAACCAATAAACCTTGAAGAGTACTTAAATTTATTGTCTAATTTTGCAATAAAATAGTATATTGTAGTCGCGTCGATTTGAAGCTTTGAGTAATTGTATACTTAAGTGGGGTGGTGGTGGGGGAAGCGGCATAATTACAGGGTAACGGTGTCAAAATAAGGTGGGAATAAGTCGTACCTTTAACAGTCTTTGTCCGCACTTTAAGGTCACTACGAATTGACAAATTTAAAGGTTCATTAACTTCGTTCACAGAGGGCTCCAACTTAGGGAACTTATCCTGCGGGGAAACGGGTGCACTAACAGTCATTCTATTACTTTTGGGTAAGTCCTGCACTTCTTTGAACTGATGGGGCCGGTTCTGGATCCCCAGGATGTTCTCGATCAGGTGCGGCGTGGGTTTGTTGGTTAACTTCTTGTAGACGTGCTCGTGCCAAGAAAGCGTCCTGTTGGCACAAAACTCTTTGGTCACGGCATTGTCCTCCTCCTCCTTGGACGCGTTGGGTCTGTCCTCCTTGATGTCAGATGACATCGCTGACCACCACCATCCGAGTCCGGGCTGTTCCGGAGTGAGCACGCGACACAGAACCGCGTGCTTCAACGCCACGCGCGCCGAACCACACGTCCTACTACCGCCGGTGCTGCGTCTGACTGAGCCTCTGAGCCCCAAAGTACAAAGCTGCGAAAGCTCCGCGCGCTACTGATCGCCGGGGTGCGCCACTCAACGGCGCATACAACAGCCACCGGAGCTTTATGTGCCAACAATGATCACTGGCATGACCTAATCAACTTAAACTTCGCTAATTGCCGCATACCTACACTGCACCCCCACCCCCGCCCCCACCACGCGTCTTCGACCGACCCGCGAACTGCATTGTAGTGCGACGGAGGCACTCATTAGCCGAGCTCAAAAACGCGCCAAACTGAACCTCCACGAACATTACCATGATTAACACTTTCTGCCAGCTATCCATAATTGATCATTTTCGGTCACTTAACTCGCTTAATTAACTATACCGGTTTCAAAATACGGAGCACTTCTGCTTAAAACTGTCAGACCGACACTTAGACAAATCAGAACAGAAACAGTCCACCACTACAGCGCCTTGCCCCATGCGATTAGAGAGAATTGTGTACAGCCTCAATTATCTAATTCTGAGGCCAATTACGGACCTCCAACCGAACTCGGTACTAATACACTAATTTTTTATCTCTGTCTTACGTCCATTTGTATTTGCAGCAGACACTTTCGCAACTTCACGAAACGGCATGCTCTAGGACAACAACATGACCGTCTTTCATAGGCGTTTCATACTATCTGATAAGAAAGTCTTACGTAACGTTGCTCCCCTCTTAATTTTGATTATACCCATCACATTCAAAAGCAGATTATATACAAGCTATTTTAAAGCTCTAATGTCGTGTCTAAAACGTAACTTCCTACACCGATACCAATCGCTACTTTCTCTTTCTTTCCTTTGTCATGGGTGTCTTTTTCAATTGATCGCAGCTATCTATGGAAGCATCTTTCTTCAGTTTCATCCCACTGCTGTCTCATATCTACTAATCCAAATGACTCTCATTAAAAAACATTAAGGAAGACATTACAAATTTACTTTTCTGTGGCTTGTCTTGTCACTTTCTACTTTTCCTGATACACGTTAACAGTTTTTTTATTGGTTTTCATCTCCCAATTTTTTCTAAATTTTTCACCACCACTTTTCACTTGGTTTGAATGAATTTTGTATGTTGACATTTCTTTTCAGAAGGTCTTAGCAAAATCGAACTTGATCTAACAAAAGGATTTTCGTTATTTCTGTTTCTTCAGTTTTCGTTTTTGTAATTCCTATTTCTCTCTTTCTTCGGCTGTTCCCTTCTATGTTCTAAGTTCAAAAGACACCAAGCCAAGATTGCTTTGACTTTCTTCTTCCAACTCAAGAATCATTCGTGACCATACTTATTCTTTTCCGTGTCATCTATGTTCTATATTCACACCCTTTTCGGGTCGGACCAGTTCTAGTCTATCAAAATCTTTAGTGTCTTCGATTACAAAATGTCACATCTACATTAAGTTCTAATTTTTATTGCTTTATTTTTTAATCTTCAGTTTTTCATTTTTATGTTTCTTGGAAATCTACGTTTTCGTATCAAGTTCATCCCACTTTCCTCCACTACACGTCTCATACGGGTTGTGTGAATTTTCAATTAACTTTTTCAAAAATTTACATCTCACTATTTCAGTGACGTCATATATTCGCGCATAACTCTATATACTTTCTCTTGAAACAGTGAATAATAACCGAGTCCAAATATTTGTTCGAGTCGTGATTTTCTCCGACGCTCTGAGTTTCATTGTAGTATTTTGAGTTTCAATATGGCTCTCTAGTTCAGCTGTCAATGCTCTTCACGTCACTATTCGTTCCACTATACCGATTTATTATTCATTTTCCATGTCTGTTTACACCGGGCACTTGTATAACGTTTAAAATCCGACCTCACAACCCGAAGTTACGTATTCTACAATCGATCAATTTCAATTGATATCACCAAATTTTGCTTGAAATTGGTAGAACTGCCACTCTAACTTTTTGCCTGTTGTCAAAATTGACATGGTTAGCAGTGACGTGTAATTTAAATCAATATTTGTTTTTGATTTCACAGAATATTCCAACGACAAACGCGTCGACATTGTTTCGTACATTTTGATAAATTCGTGAAATTCCAGATTATAAATTGCTTTTAAATGTTTTCAAATCTCTAGCTTTATTTAAATATAAAAGGTGATAGTGTGTTTAACGCTCATGCTGGTCCTACCCCCACTCTAAGTCTTATGGAGGGCGGAAGTTGGGGGCGTGATCAGGAACGCTACCAATTTTTGGAGTACTGCTACGCGAAAACGTCGAATGTCAGAATTTAGTTGTACAGAGTTTTCACATTCATGCCAGTTCAAAATACATAATTGGTACTTAGCATGCCGTAAAAAACCACTCTGACAAGTTTAAGTGAGTGTGTGCTTGTGCGTGTTCGTCAAATCGAGACACTTTGCCCTACTTAATTTTTAGCGAAAAAAGTTGCGAATAACACAAACAACAAAAGTTATCACATTTATTTTAATAATTTATCTTAAAAATACGGTTAAAAACTGTTATGATCACTTGTTATCACACGGTAATAACGAATAAAGTGCGGTTGCTACGTTCGTGTGTTTTCTCGGATCCAGTCGAGGTATTTCGTCACCCTCGTGTACACCCCTGGGTATCCAGGTTCTCCACATTTATTGCCAAAGGACACTATTCCCACTTGTATCCAGCGCGTATCCCAATGAATCATCAACGGACCGCCCGAATCTCCCTGAAACGACTCGAGATTATGCAACCTACAATACACCTCGCTCAACTCACTTGACAGGCGTCAGTGCCGCCTTTCGCGTAACCCGCGCATATGAAATTATCCGTAATAGGCTGAAAATAGGCTTGGTTACAGTCTTCATTTGCCCAAACCGGAAGCACCGCTTGCCTCTGTACAGTGCTCTCCTTTCCTCCGTAAAAAGTGGTCCCCCATCCTACCACCGTGGTCTTCCTCCCCGCAAACCTTTCAGTCTGCAATTCAGGCGGCGGCAAGCAAAGTGGAATAACATATTTCGATTTCCTCGCCGGTTTATCCAAAACCAATACAGCAATATCATTATAAAAGCCAACACGGCTAAACTGAGGATGCGCTCTTATTTCTGATACTTTAAAAGTAATAGGACTCGAGGGCTCGTCGTTTCTTTTCAAATCAATATCTCCCAATCGGACCGAGAATTGTCTTGCTGCAAATCTACTCGACTGTAATGTGAAATCGGTGACATGGGGTTCTTACGGTCTCTGGCGCGAGTCTCGGGTGCAATGGGCGGCCGTCAGGACGTGTCGGGCGGTTATCAGCGACCCTCCGCACCAGAACTCCGTGCGGCGGGACCCATGGAGGAAAATAGCGGCCATCCATGGCCACCGTCCAGGAAGGGCCTCCTCGCCACCTACCACGCGGAACTTGGCGGACTCGGGCTGGCCGCAATCTGAATAAACACTTACACGAGGTGAACGGAGAATAGGTAAACTTACCTGAAGGGTCCACTAAGAGACCATCTACAGGAAGACTAGGACTGAGGGTTGTTGTAGGGGGTCTCGTCGTTGGAGGCAGCGTAACTGGTTTAAGCTTCTGAGGGGGTGGCGTGGTTAACTTAACGGGTCTTAGTTTGGTAGGTTTGGAAATGTCGATTTTGGGACAACAAACGCCGGGTTCGAAAAGACTTTTGAAACAAAGAGACTGACGCAGGTTCCCCAGATTTAGTAAGAGTTGAGGGCAGTCACTCAAGTCGTTGCAGAATCTATAAAATAAATTACGATTTAGTAAAAGTTGGGATTTTACCAGCTTTCTCCCGGGCTGGCAATCATAGTCATGGGCCATGAGTTATTTTCCATTAAACTATATCCTGTATGAGTAAGTGTGATACAGAATATTAGTAATTGGTGCCAATCGGTTACCCTTTCGTTCCTTCCGGTGTTGTACAACTTCTTGGATCTTCTTCTTCCTCTTCTTCTTCTTCGTCGTTTTTATCTATCACCACGGGCAAAGCTTCTCTTACTAAAGGTGCGATAGAGTCAGTCACATTTCGCCCTAGCACGTTTTTACTGATTGTGTAAATGGCACTCGGAACTTCTTCTGACAACTTGGAGTTATCGACTTCCCCCTGGGTCATGTTGACTAGATACCTCCCCACAGTATTGATCGCCCCCAGAGTTTCAGTGATTTTGTATATAGCATCGGGACCAAAGTGTCTACTATCTTCGGCACCTTCATTTATGGCAGCGTAATTTTGTTTTTCGTCCACGTTTCGCCTCTGCGGTAGTTTTATCCATCTCGGCGCATCGCTTTCTTCGTCGTACCAGGGGGCGTAATACTCCCTTTGCGCATAAATCAGAGAAAGAGGGAAAAGGAAAGAAAGGAACAAAATCTTTCCTGCAACAAGAAAAGTTAATTAGCTTGTGTATGTAAATAGTGAAAGAAAGTGTCTAAACAATGCAACTTTCTTCAGTATGCAGAATTTTTTTGTGGACAAAGTCAAATTCGTGGATTCATGTTCGTCATTCTTGCGCCAGCTAGGAAACTCCGATTACGTCAAAGCGGATGCGCTTATGAGCAAGGAGTTTGGTGAAAGTGAAAACATCAACATTGCTTCGAGCCACCTTGACACTGTAACGTTGCCGGTATTGTATATTAAAAAGAAGAAGGTTATGCAACTGAGTTTGTTTTTAAGAATTAATTAACGGTGATTTCTTGTGAAAAGAGAAGTTTTAAGATCAGTGGCCGGTACTTTCATTCGTCTCATTAACTTGAGCAGGAATTTGTAATTAATCGAAACAATAGGTTTGAGAAAAAGTGTACAAGCGATATAGTTTGTAACCTTGATCTTATACATTGATATTGTGTTTTTTATTTTCGACAAATGGGAAAGTTGTAATTGTAACAAATTGGATGCAGGCGATATTCATTTCTACTTACTACACATGGTCTTACCAACAAATATCCTTGACTTATTTGCATGTTGTCATTGTTATTGCCAAAAAGAAAAATAATAGTAATTAACTGAGTTCTGCTACTGCTAATACATGAGACGGAATAGATGGCACACTTAAAATATCGTAGGAGTATCGTGGGATTATCGACAAATGTATTAAACTTATCGCAAACCCTATTCTTCGCAATTTTGTGTTAAAGTAAGTTAAAATAAATAAAAATATTTACCAATGGGTCTAATCCATAAGTGCATCCTGAACTGCATTTAGTATCAGGCACTAGCACCATGCACCACGCTTAACAGAAAGTCAACGTTTGACCCAAATTTACCTTGAAGACCAGCCAAAGAAAGTGACGGTAATCCTCCCTTCTTTCTTTCAATTTCTCCCACTTGCTGACACTGCTTTTTACTTTCGTTGAAAAGAATTTCACTTATTCCTGACTTGTTTATAGTCAAGCGCGCGCAAACTATCAATGCATCGGTTACAGGCGAACGATAAAGTGATAGTGATATCACACATTATATCGCATGATATCTTATAAGCGGCAGTAACACTTACTAATATCAGCATTTAAGATACAAAGACTGATCCGTGTTTTGCAAAAAACCCACTTGTGTACCGTTTACCCAAATCGGGACACCTATATATATATTTTCTTTTAGAAATGAATGTGACTTTCCAAAAATTAATTTAAATTTAGGTTTTATCAGAGAATATTGTATTATGTCGTTACGGCTCCTTGGCTTGCTACAGGAGCCGGTTAAGTGTTATCTGTTTATGAAATGATTTACGGGATACCACAAACCCTTATCGTTTTATTTTTAGTCTTCATAAATTCATTAAAAATCATATTTAACGCACAAATTATGAACGATCCTTTTTGGGTTCAGTGAAGATACTTAGTCTTTTTTAAGTTTGTGATAAAATGAACATATTTTGTGTGTCAATCTTGACAAATAATCAAAAGTTTGTTACTACGTATGTTGTTGGTTATAAATAGTGTTATTTTAACACAAGAATTCACTCCGAGTACTTTTAGCCCATGCAAATTTGGTGCTTATTTGCGTGTGTATTTTTGTTTTAATATGGTGTCAATTAACATTCCCGTTTACACGTAGCTGTGTAAACTTGACTTTACTTTGTATATTTAAATTTGAAAAAAATGGCGCTCAAATAGATTGCGTCCTACCGAGACCAGATTAGTTCCTTCCATTAAAGTGACATCGCTCCCACAGACGTATCGTAAATCGTAAACTTGTAGTCCGGCGTGAAGTACAAGACATATTAAACATAAAAACCTAAATTAATAATCTTATAATCACAAATCATGTAAAAACGCCATTCTAAGCGCTATATTTTTTCCCGACATCTTTCTAAACGATTAATTCCCAGTAGAACTTTCTTCGTCGTGAGAGTTCTGTGGCCTTTGCCACCAGCCTGAAAAACACCATAAGTTTACAAAATTCCGTCAAATCATGCTCTCTCTTCGTCCACTGCCTTTCAGAAGTAAGTTTATTAAGTTTTTGCATTTTCCAATCGTAAATCACTTTATAGGTCAAGTTGTAAAAGAAGTGAGGTTATGTGTATCGCGCACTGCCTCCAGCAGCCCCAAAACGGGGATCGTTTTATTGAACATGGGAGGCCCTCAGAAAGTGGAGCAAGTTCACGACTATTTGCACCAAATAATGACCGACCGTGACATGATCCAGTTACCTTTTGCACAAGAGTGAGGATTAATTAAATGTAAAACTGAATGTAAGATCTTATTTTAGCCGGTTGGGGCCATGGATAGCGAAGCGCCGGACCCCGGAAGTGCAGAAAAAGTACGAGGAAATCGGTGGTGGGTCGCCGATTTTGAAATGGACAAATAAACAGGGTGAACTTTTATGTCAAAGACTGGATAAGGTATCGCCGAATACAGCCCCTCATAAACACTATGTGGCGTTCAGATACGTACCGCCGTATACTAAAGATGCGTTTACGGAATTAGAGAGGTTTTACTAGATTTTGACAGTTGGTGGAAGTCATTTTCTGGTTTTAGGGATAATGTGGAGCGCGCCGTCATTTTTTCGCAATATCCGCAGTATAGTTGCGCCACAAGCGGTTCAAGCTTTAATGCAATTTATAAATATTATAAGGACAAGTATGAAGTAGGTTTGATTATGATTTGAGAGCTTGATGATCAGTTTGCAGAAAATTACCAGAAGGACTGAGGTTCAGCATGATTGACAGATGGTCTACACATCCACTATTGGTCAAATGCTTTGCCGATTTAATTAGGAAAGAACTGGCTAAAATCAACGGCAGTAAAAGAAAAGATACTATAATTTTGTTTTCAGCACATTCCTTACCTTTAAAGGTAGTTTGTATGCGTGTGTGCGTGCTAGCGTGTTGTATGTGTTGTGAGATTTATAGAACTAAAATTTATCAAATTTCATAGGCTGTAAATCGTGGGGACTCTTATCCAAGTGAAGTTGGCGCCACTGTGAATTTGGTCATGCAAGAATTGAACTATTGCAACCCATACCAGTTGGTGTGGCAGTCTAAAGTAGGCCCACTACCTTGGTTGGGTCCATTTACTGATGAGGCAATCAAGGGTTATGTAAAACTGGGCAAAAAGAACTTTGTTCTTGTTCCAATTGCATTTGTCAATGAACACATTGAAACTTTACATGAACTGGATATTGAGTATTGCAAAGAGTTAGCAGAGAAGGTAGGACTATTAGGTGTATTGTCAACTAAATAACTAAAAGTTTGTTGGCATGGTTACATACCATTGTAAAGAGTCACTCTTGTGTGACATAATCTGACACTTAAAGTTAGAGAGGTATAGTTACACCAACAGAATAAATTTTGATGCACCACGTTTTGTGCCATTAAATTTAGAGACGCTATACACAATTCTGAAAAGTGTTTGAGAGCCATATTTTCGTAGAATGGATTCAAATCAAAATATTTTTGTGCAAATTTTAGTTATTAAAGAGATTCACATTTTGATCATCTGGTTTTTAGGTTGGGGTGGAAGAAATCAGAAGAGTTCCTGCACCCAACGACCACCCGTTGTTCATTGAAGCCTTAACTAGTATTGTACAAAATCACCTACAAAGTAATGTTCCAGTTGGGAAAAAATTCTTGAATAGGTGCCCACATTGTGTCAGCGCCAGTTGTTACCACAGCAAAAAGTGGTTTTCTGAAGTTTGTCGAATTTAAAGTCTATTTGTATTTTTTCAAGGGTCCAGTTATTATTATTGTTATTGTTTGTAAATGGTTGTAATGGTAAATCCGTGTTAAAATATAGGCTTTGGAATTATATATTTACCTATTTTTAGAGGGTGTTTTACTGGTTGCCTACCCTGTGACATTTATAAATGTCATGCTATTCTGGGAAACAAAGAAACTTTCCTTTTTTATTTATTTTTCCAAATGACAGTACGAAGTTAATTTTAATTGTTCACATACATTGTTTAAGTCTGTCGATAGAAAAAGTTTAATTGTGTAGAAAGTCGTGAGACTGCTAAAGATTGATGTTCGTAGAATAGCGGCGAACAAGAACTGATTAAATTAAGCACACTCGCTTTTTCTTTCTTATTTTGTGATAATAACGTTAAAACGTTCTCTAGAATTCAACTTATTAACAGTATTAAAATTCCGATCTACTTATCTTTGATTTTGTTTACGACTCAATTAAATTCTGTACAAAGCAAACTCCCGATTGTTACAACAATTATCGTTTTATTTTACAGCCGGCACAAAACAAACAAATTTTAAACAACCTGTCCTGTTTACTCCACCGTGGCGACGACCTCATCCATTTTGTGTCTTTTTTGTATTTCGGCGCGAAATTGCTATTTTTCAAAACGTCACTTTTCCTAAATTAAGGCGAATTCTCGCGGCTCCGATTTTCCGCCAATATCTCTTCTTTTCAAATCCGCTGAAAATTGGATCAGCTGTGCGTGATGGGGGCGTCTGCGCAGTTTACGTATAACTTGATAGAACCGCACCAGTAAATTTACAGTCGGGTTCAGATGTTGACGGAGTTAGTTGATGTTTCTAACCTCAAATGCGAATGTTATTACTTGTAAATAGCAATATTTAGTAAACATGGTAGCTGGAGTTAAATGGAAGTCCATTTCTAGCGCGATTATAGTGGTTATTTTAGTGACGGTTGGTGAAAACAAAGCGTTTGGACACAAGCACTGCAATCATGTGCACCCGAAGTACGATGAGGTTAGTTTTATTTACTTTTTATGGTTTCCTGTGCCGGATTTTTCATATCGAGTGTTTACAGTTATGTGGACACAATTACGTGTTTTTATTACCGTATATTTAGTTGTTTAGGGCGAACAAACTTTGATGTTTTCCCCCGCTTGGAAATTTTGAAAATTTGCAGTAGGTACCAACCCATCGCGAAATCACTTCTGCGGTAACTCGATCCGATATAAGGATATAATAATTACATAATAAAATAATATTAATTCAATGTAAATACGTAATTGCAATACATTAAAATCAAGTTTTTACTCATAACTTGATGCAATTAGATCAAGGGATACTAACGACAAAATTATATAACAACAATAGACTTACAACAAGACAACGTGATTAATTTTTTATGATTCAGTCAACTACTAAAACAGGTTGCTTTTATTTCATTAAATTATAAAGAGTAACCGTAAGGTCACCCGAGGTGAGAGAAATCTCAATAATTTTAAACCGCGACACAATTTTCTGCGGTTTCGTAGGGGTTTACTAAAACGCTGGTTTGCAAAAAAAACTAACACATGTTTGTAACGTCGGAATTTGTGTCACTGCTGTATTGTAATAAGCTCATCAGGAATTTAAATTAGTTGATAGAACCGCGTATGCCAAAGGGTAGCTCGTACATATTTAAAAGGGTTAAGGGCTTAACTCTGCGGCGAACCCTTTTTATTAGATAAATATTAACCTAGTTCATGTTCTTGGTTGCCACTCCTGTATGCAAATAAATGAGGATCGGATAGAAAAGATTAAAATTTACTTAAATATTATCACTTTCGATATATTTGAGTGATGTATGTGTTTGGTTAACATGTATGACATATCTAATTTGGTCGACAAGGGGAGTTCGTTACCGTTGACGGACCTTTAGACGCAGACGAACAGGACTCTAAAAAATATTGCATAGCAGGGAACCTGTCGAAAGCAGACTAACGTAGATTCAGTTATGCAATAACAATTTTGTAAGGAAATGTTAAAGTTGTAATTCGATGCAAGATTTAATGAAAAGCATAAGTGAGACTAGACTCTTTAATTAAAAACCTTGTTTTCGCAAACTAGTGGTTTTATATGACTTGATTTGAATAGGGAGTGATAAAAATATGCTTTAAATTGGCAAACATGTGTTTTTAATCACCGACGGGAAGGCCAGGCGATGAATTATTACCACTGATGCGAAAATTGGAAATTTTTTTTGTTAAGTCCAAACTTGTCGAGTCTTCCTAAAAGTCAAGTTTGGAAGTTTTTATGTTTCGGCAATAATGTCAAGGTTTCCATCAAAAATTTTCACGAATGTTGTTTTCTAGTACTCCGGCGATCTTGATTTTGAATCTGGAAAAGTTGCGTGTTGGGAAAATTTCCAATTTCCGGTCTAACCGGAATTTGTGTAAAAAACAATAAAAGGGCGGTGCTGGATTTTTGTTCAAACTTCTCGGTGAAAGTTACGTTACATTTTTGCCTAAGTAGAATATTGCTGATAACTCGCAAAGTGTAAAGGTTTCGTGATGCAGAAAATATGTCATTGTACTGGCACTGTTCATTACAACAAACTCGAGGCGAATGAAATCGCAACCTTCGATCGAAATCACTGCTAAAAAATAAGGATCAAATCTTTAATGCACCTAGATTGCGACACAGCGGCGTCTTCCTGAACCCATTTTGCAAATGATTTTGACGTTTGCTTTATACCACCGATTTGGTAAATTGGATCGAGAACGAACCGTACGACCACCCATGTCAAATTACCACCAATTGACAAGTCATCCACGTTATAATATATGCAAACGTAATCTTGATATTGAACGCCCAACCTACATACGGGCTTCTATCGTCGTTCTTTCATTCAACCGAATTCCAGACCAGTTTCACTTCCTCTGAATTACCTGCAAATTATCAAATTCCGCCACTTAATAACTTTAATGCGTTGGGAAAGGCTGAGAATATGATCTCCGGCTTACTGCGGCTTCCGTGCCGCAAGGGACGACTTTGAGCCCATCCTTGCGCCCGCCGTCCCTCGCCCGCTTGCTGCCCCGATCCTTTCATGTTCCAAGGGGCATCTTCGTGACTTTGGAACCGCTTCTACCTCTCAGTTTGGTTTTATCGAGATAAAAATGCTTTCTAGAAAGTGCCAATAGCAAGCAGCGGACGAAATTATCCCCTTTTTATTGTTTACATCGCCGATCTTGGTTTTTGCAGAGAGCGACCTTGAGACCGTTTCTGCTCCGCGTTGTCACTTTTTCGTGTTTTGTGGATTTGCATTTCCGCGTGCCGCAAGGCGCGACTTTGGGACCGTTCTTTTTCCGCCCGAGTTTTTGCGCGTTTGGGTAGATGGTTATGAATGGGTTGTTTGTTGTCAGATCCTGGGTTAATTGAGTGGGTAAGAGAAGTGGAGCCGCAACCGAGCCGCGTTCTGATAATTGATGTAAATACTTGCGTATTGTCGCTAATTGACCGTCTCGTTTCAGAATTGATTAAGGTAGTGCTTTATGAGATACAGTTTAAATATCTGGTTCGGAAACGTATAATTAAGTTAATTATTCGTAGCGCTACTTGTTGTCGTCAGGCGATTTCGTAACATCTTGAATAAGGTTTAAGAGGATGAAAATAAAATTCAATTACGCAATGAATTTAATTTTCGATATTTGACAGTGGCTTTTTTCGTGTCTCCAGAGGAGTTGCGGAAGCCTTGTATTGGCGGCTCGATGGGAGAAGTTGAAGCGATATTTTTCGGGTTGTAAAGGAAGCCACTTTGTGGCATTTTCGCCTTATTTATTTTCTCCCTAATTAATTGTCACATTGTCAAGGCAGTGGAGTAAAGATGGGACGGAGCGGGAAAAGTCCGTTCGCAATTGAGTTGTTATGTAAGATGTTTAGAGTATGTTTATTGTGCTAGATATCTGTTAATTATAACCGGTCTAAGACTCTTTGTGTATCGATGTTTAAAAATTTGTGTTTTATGTTATGCAACGGCAACATAGCCGCTTCCTTGTCGGTTTTTAGAAAGTCGGGTCTTTTTAGTTGTCTATGGAATTTGTTAAAGTTCGCTCTTCGTCCAAGTGTGTTAATTGGTGTATTATGGAAATATATTTTAATACATTCTAAACAATGCAGTAATTAAGCATCCATAAACCCTGATTTATTTATCGGCTGAATTCTGAACGAGGATGAGAAAAATACCATCGCAATTAAGAAGAAAGTTCTTTCGGCAGCGAACATCTAAAATCAATTTTTATTGAAAATGTGCTAAACTCTGCGCAATGTTTCACTCGACTGCAATCCATTTACATATTTTGTAATGTAAATGTAACAGAATTTTTTTAAATCCCAAATTTTATGTCGGAGAAAGCAAATAACTTTTCCCAGATGTCAGTATTTGTATAACAGAACAAACACTTTCCCAAATAATTACAAATGTTAACTTTTCATATGAAAAATAGCGAATTCCATCAAAATCATAATTTGATAGCGTGAAAGCTCTCCACGGCTCGGTGTTGCATTCATTTCAGGCGTTTCGTTTAATGGTATCCGACGTGGTTCAGTGCACTTTCAGACAATACCTCTTCTATACAAATTCACTCACGAACCTTAAAAACCATTGACAAATTTTCTTCGACTTTATTAGGCTTTTCGCACGGTTTCTACGCTGTAGAATCGCAAGTCACCGCCAATTACACCAATCAATTAAAGTTACTTGAAGATCGCTGGGTTCGAATAGGTCAAAACCCAAGATGTCGACGTGTGGGGTGACCATACACCGAAAGGGGCAACACCCTTTATCCGCGCATATATTTCCATTTTAATTATTGGAAGGGGGTATATTTTTTCAATTCGTTTATTCATCGAAAGAAAACATTATATAGTGAATTCGTGCTTGACGACTTTGTATACACAAAGCAATTTTTAGTTAACATGATACGATACGCCTCGTTCTATCGGCACGAAACGACAACAATGGACGAATATCGCCGATTTTAACAAGTAAAGCCAACTGAGCGAATCGAAAATCATATTCACCTGTAACATTCCATACACAATTTAACAAAACACGGTTAGGGTTTTTTTTCAAGAAGGTTTTTTCCCTCGTTTTCAGACAGAAATTAGGTTACTACACAAACGTCACTTTTTCGTAAGCTTACCTGTCATTTTTATATTCATTTTATATTAGTAATTGTCAGAGAAGGAAAGTAAACAATAGCTTGTTTTCTTAGAAATGAAGTTTTTGTCATCTTCTCAATGTGCATTGTTATCTGATTGATGGGCATTGTGATATTGCATAACTTCACTTTTCAACACTTCATCACGAATTCACTTTTGTTAAGATGTGATCTAAACAAGTTTTGAGAATACGTAATTTACATCACCGACCTCATGGAGATGTTACTTAAGTCTTTTTTACAAAGTGCGGCGAGATCCGATCGATTTGCAAAAAATTCTTTAGAAATCATTACTTGTTGCTCAAACCTCCCGAAAACAACCAACTTCATATTAACCATTATCTTTTGTTCAAATATTTGTAAACAAATAATAAAAACAGACAAATCAAACTAAAAGTACGTAAAAAAATCGCGTTTGTTTTTTTGGAGATCTAATTTAATAACCTGTTGGCTTGGTGCCGGATTGCATGGCAGCCTACAGTTATTATTATTATTTTCGTTTGGGCAGATATTTACTGCAATTATGTGTTCTCAAGAAGGTGGAATTATTCCTGTTTGTTTACTTTTTCTTCCCTCTGTTGATTTATGTTGTTTTGATCAAAATCGTCGTGGGCGTTTCAATTTGTGGCAAAAGTCAAGACTAAAATGGAAATAAACCTGCGACGCGTCTTATTTTTACCACAAAAACATTAAACGTCGAACAATATTCTTCATTATTTGCGAGGAAATTGCTCATTAATTAATATTCGAGAGGAAAATATTCATGAATTCGTAACGTAAGAAACGTGGTTGAATGCTATAAATAGACAGATAAACCCTTTAGTAATTTTAAATAACGAACAGTGGCAGATAAATGTAGAGCAGATAAGGCAAAAACAGGTTTATTGTGTTATATTGTATTATATAGTGTGCACACAATCAGTAATAAAATCTGGTTATTAAGAATGACTCGGGCCTACCTTTAATAATACACTCTGTACCTACATGAATGAAATTGACGTAAAGCATGTTTTCCAAATTCACCTGTATAGGTTTAAATATTGCTACGTTGATCGGTAATTTAAAATCGGTGTGGGTAAAACTCGACAATTTACTATATAGCGATTATGTACAGAATAACTCCGACTCGACTAGAATGGATATTGAAATAATCTTGTGTTCCTGTGGATGGTTCGTGAACATCGCTTCGATTTTTTTCTGGAGCCCGCCATCGAGACTTTCGGCAATGCGCCCCAGGCTTTCTTTATGCGAACGCCGCCAAGCCGCCGCCACCGATGACGAGTCACCCATCTTCGCCGTATACACTAGAAAGACCTTTTCTAAATAATAGTGAAATTTAAAATCATTTCACTAAGATTAAAGTTGGACGTAACACCAGTCATCAACAGTCATGTATATGAAATGTTTGTTGTTGTTTTAAAATTTCGAAGAACAATTATCTCGTATCGGTTGATAGTGTTATCGTTCTGACACCGGCATACAGAATATCTGAGAGGAAGAACGTGGTGAAAATATCGCCTTTTCACTCTAAATATGGCGTCCCACATCCGGAAAGACCTACATCTTCAGGATGTGCTACCATTGAATACGGATATCTGTTTGTCATAAAACGCACATTAATCTCCCGACAAAAGTGTGGTCATAAGTTGTGTCAAATTAATTCGCGTACACCGTACGAACTTCATCAACAGTTTCATTATTGACCTTTGTGTTCGTTGGCATTAAAATTATTTCTTAGTAGAATGCCAGCAGCGAAAATATGTTCGGAACTATTTAAATAATGTGCCCAACATTCTAAACTACTTCTAAAGCATCCGAATACTCTAATTCGGCATCTAAATAGCGCATTACATGCCAGCCGCATTAATTAACGTTGTTTTATTATACGTCAATTTCTGAAATTCGTTTGAAACATGTACCGAATTTGTGATACTACAATGCGTCACAACGTCATAGAACTTCACAACTATGTGCTAAGTATTTCCATATTGGAATAATTGTGACTTAACTCCATATAGGTGTATTCAAATTAATAGAAAGCACATCTGTTTGACAAAAATGGGGACAGGAAAATCATTATAAGATTGCAGGAACGAGTTGGTTCAGCTTATTAACTTATTATTGTAAGAGATGTCTGAAACTCTCGGTTTTCTCCACCAAAAAAACAACGCATTCGATTTTATCACAGTGTAATCCTTTAACTTTTTGTAGCAATCCCTGATAAATTAATCTATTAACACATACACAGATTTTGCAATTAATGCGATAATTTTTTTTACTGGTGTACCAATTAGTTAAAATCAATGTTTTAAATTTACTCACGTTGTTTTAAGTATGATGTTTATGTTTTAAAAGTACGTCGATACGGTGCGTTTTTTGTTACTAACAAGGGAAATTCGCTAGTATTAAACTTCCGGTGCGCGAGAAACGCTGTATTGTGTATACAGTTTGCATATATAATGCACTACAACCCCCCGATTTATTTGCTTTCGATTCAGACTCCCACCGAAGACACCATTTCTATGTGGTTGCATTTTTGGCGCAGCAGGTCAGTTTCCGAAATAGTGTCCCTATTCACATTCGTGAAAATCTGGTGAAACCCCGACATTCAGGCCGCTAAACTGTTATTTCCTCATGTTTATAAATGACGAACAATCCCAACACAACTGTCTCTCCTGTGTCGTAGGCTGAAATTTCGCATTTCCTCTAATCTTGTAATTATCTAGAATTGCCTGATATTTGCGCTAAAACACGCACTGTATTTACCAACGGAACGGCACAAGTCTTCATAATTGTGTTTTTATTGAACCATGTCGCATTAAAAGATCAGCGTAAGACTCTTACCGTCTTTCCGGCTGTGGTTGTTGAATTTAATTATGTGTATAGTATCGTTTGAAACGACAACGTTTAATCTGGTTGTGTTAATTCGCAGGATGTTGGATGGAATTACCATTCATTTCGTACGAGCGTTTGCACTACTGAATTTACTGAATCTATTGACTTGAATTAATTTCAAATTAAAATGATCGGGTTATGAAGATTTGGGGCCCTTTATGACGTTTTTAGTTCAGAGTCATGGAACTAGTGTCAGTTTTATTTGCATGAATGAGTCACGGTGCAGTGGCGATTTCTGTTCCGTGTAATTGAATAATCATTACTGGTTAACCGTGTAATTACTGCTTGTTTTTGTTCATTCATTACACGACAAAATTTGAAGCTTTTACATACGTTGTCGTTGATTGTGGATTCGGTGACATGACGTATTGATTGATCCGATTTTACCCGGACAGTACTCCAGTCAAGTGCTGTTCATTGGTTGCCATCACTACGCGTGACCACGGTAAGCGAGCGAAGCGAGCTTCGTGTTCACCTAGAAATGAAGTGGATAAAGTTGCGTAATTTAATATATTCGTTTCAGTGGGATGTGCCGATCGTATGTTTCTTATTAAAGTCACGTAAAGGCTTTCTACTAAAGTGTGTTACTATGTGTAGTCTTTGTATTCATATGTGGTAGTGTAGTTTTTAAAAACTATATTTCACCTCACGTTGTTACATAATTAATGAGGATGAGCAAATCGTAGAAAACATTTAATCAATATAGACTTACACGATCACTTAAATTTAATGAGATACAATACAACGGTTCCTAAAGCAAAATTACCAATTCTTTTATTGATTACGCATGAAGAGGAGACACCGCTGGAATCGTTGGAAGTGAAAGGGATTAAGGAAGATCTTTGTTGTTATTGTTGTTGCTCACTTACTACAGGTGTAATTTTCTTGAAGGTCTACACTTCTAAGACGCTACTCGATATCATTGTGTTATTTACCAAGTCTTGTAAGCTTACAGATCGTCATTTTCATTAGCTAGCCTCCATCACGTTATTTCATCGCATCTCAAGTTTCTTTTTTATTGCTGAATCCCGGAAGCTGCAGCGCATCGCGGAAGAGATAAAAAAAGAGACTTACATGTAATGCTTTATTAATAGACTAGGTTTAATTTATAATTTATCATCTTGAAACTTGCATTGCAAATGACTAGTTTTTATTTGAATTTAGATTTTGTTTGATGTGAGTGTCAACTGTAATTTACATCATTAGGCAGCTGGTTGGTGCGTGATAAACGATAGTGGGCGCCATCTCGACCATGCTAACCCAAATACATTTATACGTTTAAATCGGACATAGATCGCTACGCTATAATTAAATTTTAACTGACGTATTGTATTTTTTTGCATTAGCATTAGCACCCGTTGGCATACTTTCAAAATAATTAAATAATTTATTAAGGATTTTTTACCACGAAATAAAGATTTTCACAATTACGGCACCGGAACAGCGTCTGATCGCTTGAAATTTAAAAAGAGATGGAGAAATAACTGTCTCTGTTTACCCAACACTTTAAATTTTCTTCGACTGCTGGTCTAACACGCGTCTGGGCAAAGCCTACTATTAACTTTATTTTTAACTATTTTATTTAAAAAAAGTTTATAGTAGGCTTTGGTCTGGGCGCCAATTTTAGCAGTTGATGAAAATCAAGGTTGAAGGCTCAAGAGGCGCTGTCCCCTAGTGGTGAGATAGACATATAGATCTCTATTTCTATTTCTGCTCAGCTACCCACAACTTCATAACACTACAAGTAGGGTGAATACTAGAAGTGCTTTTTGCGTATATACCGTATCGACGGAAAATAGTTCTTGAAAACCTCACCCAAGCAAATTTTCTTTCTTCAAGGTGTTCTTTCATATTTTTCCTGAGGCTGTTGCGCAGTTGTATTGTTGGTTGCGTTGTGAACTTGGTAGGCGTAAATGCAATAAAGAGTGAATTTATGTTGTTAAAAATTTGTTTGAATGTTGAAATATATGTGGGACGGTTTTTCGATCGTCTTTACCGTTTGCGGTTAGAAAGTGTCATCTAAAATTTTGGGGTGGCTCGAGCGGCACGGAGTGCCGTTTCCTCGTGAGATTTTCTCTCTTTTGTTGCATTTAAGTTTCCAGCTGAATGCGAAATGTTACGCATAACCAAGACCTGTTGAGATGATTATCGGCAAAATAAATCATGTCCGTTTTCGTGATTGTATCAGCGGTGACATTTATTTTAATTAAAGTTTTTGCTTTGTATAAATTAGCCGATTGAACTCGCACCTGAACTTTTCCGTGATGATTTTCACGTTGCGGTAAACGGAAAAGCTGGCGAAGCGAAAAAAGTGTTCCACAGTGGGTAATTATGGGTCGCTTGTTGTTTTAAACGAATCTTGGCGGCGGAAGAGGAAACTCGGAATAAATCAAGATGCACGTACCATTGAACATAAAAACGCTAATGTGCTTTAGACATGAGGTGACTCCATGACGTGTTTACGGCTCGAGGCAGATTTTTTCAGCGAGTTGCGCAATTGATGAGATTAGCGAAGAATTTTTTGGTAGAACATGGGTTTTCGTTTATCCGCGTTATGCGAGATAAAATTTTATTAGCCCTTTGAAATTAGTTTCTTCCGAAGTGCTTTCTACTAGGATGTGACTGAGGCATCTAATTACGTCTGCTTTGTATAAGAAGTTGAGAATTTCCGCGACACGAGTTTTGCAGACTTATTAGCTTCCTTATTTTTGTTCACTAGAATGAGATCGGTGCGTTTAATTTCAGGTATCTCACACGCACATTGAACCTGCACACGTAATGAAGAAAAGGAGTCTAGACCAGTCTTTGAGAATTCTGCTTCATTACGACTTAAGTGTGTACAGGTAAGTGACCATAACCGGTTATGGACAATTTGCATGCAGCCTGTATCTTTTGTTCTGTCTTGGACAATTTCATTGTTGTTCGTTTTTGATCTGTTGCAGGCTCGATCGTGAACGCTTCGATTTAATCAATGTAAGTTTTTTATTTCGTCATTTATATTCGATCATTTTGCAACAATCGATCCGTTTATTGAACGGAAATTACAAGTTAGAAGAAGTGATTAAATCTGTTCAATTTATTTTTGTTGTGTAATTCGTAACGTTCTTTTTTCAATTTTAATTTGAACAAGGTCAATTCAGGCTTTTTTCGTTCCGTTTGTCACTTTTTCAAACTCATTTTCCAATAATTGATCAAACAGATTTAAATTCAATTATGCTCGCCTTACGCCGCTTTGGTTTTGTTTTCGGTAAATGCTTCATTAATTAAAACCACTCGAATTTTGTTCGCAGGAAACAATATTGCCCCAAGCCGTTAGTTTCTGGGAGAAGGCATTGTTTGTGAGAAGAGTAGAAAACGTAATACGCTTAACCAGGTACTGTTCACAAAATAACTAACCGTAAACGGTATCAAAGCTAATTTCTACTTGATAATAACCTTAATCTAGTCAGTTCTTCTTCTATGCGACACAAGTCGGATAAAACGCGTTTAGATTTCGGAGATAAAATGCAATTATCTAGTGAATTTCTCTTATTCAAAAGTTCCGCTCACACACCAATGCTTTCCATGGGAATATTCAGGTCTCATCATCACAATTACGTGACGAAATTCTGAATGCTTTCCAAGATAACACCAAAAGAAAAACATCACCACATTGACAATAGCCGCGTGATGTACACAGTGATTAAATCAGCCACACGTGACCTCATCATCATCTTCATAATTGTTATTATGGTGCAAATTTGAGACCGCTTTCATTAGCGCACTTGAACACATTTCATAAATTAACCACTAAATCACAGGTTCCAGCAATCGAGCGGAGCGAGTCGCGTGATTATCCCATCAGCTCCGCTCGCACATTACGAACTTCCAATTAACACAGTCATCCCTCTTACTCCCACTTTGTTTTTATTTTTTCATTCAACCCGTTTTAGACAGCGCAAAGCACACCCTAGAAACGAATTGTCATCTCTGCGTTTCACTAGTTGCTCGGTTTGTAGCAAATTTTTGAAAAGGTCGAAACGGGTCGGCGTTTTTCTTTGATACCGAACGTGTGTTGGGTTTGCAGAAAATGCAACGACACTCAAGTGTTCGTGAAGAACTCCTTGACTCACTGCATCGACACATGCAAGGAGAGGACGATGTGCGGCGAGGTAGCCGTGCCTGAAGAACACTTGGATGCATGTAGAACGTGCAATGCGACGGGCCAAGACTGCGGAATAGCGAACGGATCAACAGCTGGTAAAGGCATCAAGAATTTCGATTTCGTATTTTATGTATCGGCTATGCAGACGGAGCGATGTAATAAGTCGTTAACCGTTGCATACGCCGCCCACTGCCAGCAAGAATCATCTCTAGACAGGTGAGTTTAGTCCTAGTCACGAACGCGTTTTAACGCAGTCTTTGTTCGCGGTAGACCCATAGCCGGACATGCCAATTTGTGTCCGAATAGTATTAGCACCAAAAGACAAGAAGTGGAGATCCTACTGTCGACGGTTAAGCATGAGATTTTGCACGCGTTGGGCTTTTCAGTGAGTCTGTATGCGTTTTATCGGGATTCGAGGGGCGAGCCGCTAACCGAACGACGAGTGGATACTGGAAAACCGCCTCTCAACGAAAAGTGAGTTCAATTTGGTCGGCATAAAGGGATTTACATGAAATTTATAGGTTGCAAACGTACCAGTGGAGTGACAAAGTAATTAAAACTTTTGTGCGAAAAAATTGGCTTGTTAAGTCGGGAGTGATGAAAAGAGAGGTAAACATGATAGTAACCAAGAACGTGGTGCGGGAAGTTCGTGAGTATTTTAATTGCGAGAAGTTAGAAGGGGCGGAGCTTGAAGATCAAGGTGAAGAAGGAACCGCCTTAACGCACTGGGAGAAACGCGTTTTTGAAGTAGGTTCTAGCGAAAACGCGATTCTGTCTCAAAGTTTGCTTGCAGAACGAGGCTATGACGGGAACGCACACCCAAAACCCGATTATTTCTCGAATAACTTTGGCCCTCATGGAGGACACTGGGTGGTACCTTGCGAATTTCTCGATGGCTGAGCCAATGTCGTGGGGTAAGAATCTCGGCTGCGATTTCGTGACGAAAAGTTGTAAAGAATGGATAACAATAAAGTCTTCAAGGTATTGAACACTATATATTTATTTCGGCTTTTATTAACACTCGTTGTGTGCTCAGGGGAGCTTCGATACACCCGTTCTGCAATAAAGTGAAACGTGATCCTTTACAAACGGAATGCACGGATGATCGTACGTCGGTCGCTCTTTGCAATCTGGTTGCCCACGAGACCAAACTACCGCAGATATATCAAGTAAGTAAATCACCTCGTTATTAACATGTTAATTGGGCGGGTTGCAGAATTTCGACTCAATCAAATACGTCGATCCCGGCAAGGAAGAATATTATGGGGGTTCGGTGACCCTGGCCGATTACTGCCCTTACATCCAAGAATTTACATGGCGATCAAAGAACGTGATTGTGCGAGGGTCGCACTGTCAATACCCAGAAAATAATCCCAGTGAGTTGAAAAATCTTTTGAAGTCGGATGAGTCGCAAACATGTTTATATTTTCAGAACCCGATAAAAACTTTGCTTTGGAAAAATACGGGGAAAACTCGCGTTGCTTTGAACACACTAATCAAATGTGGGAAGAAAGATCTTGCCGCCAAATGAGACAATGGCAACATTGGGGTTCAGGTTGCTATGGATACCGATGCCAAAACGGACGCCTACACATTTTGGTATTAATGTATCTTATAAATATTTCATTTATATTAACGATGGTGTTTAAAATCAATAGGTGGATAATTACTCGTACGAGTGCTTTCACCCGAACCAAGAGATCTCTATAAGAATAATCAGCAACGGCTGGCTTCATAAAGGTGCCATAGTTTGCCCGCCATGCAGGGAACTTTGTGCTGTAAGTAAGTTTAATGTATTTACAAGAAATTTTACTCTTTTTCTTACAGCAAGAATTCACGTTAAGAAATGAAAGCTGTAAAGGGAGCGACGAAGCGCCTCCTTCGACGGCATACCCTAGAGATGAACTCAAATGTTCCTCAATAGCTTCAAGACTCAACAAATTTGTTATTCTTACACTATTTCTGTCAATATGTGCCAGAGGACATCTAGTCTAATTCGTGTTCTGTGTACTTTTTAAACTACAAACAGATACGACTCTCACCTTATTTTTATATGTCCAAATTAGGTAAGTACATTCCAAAATTAAGTAAATATGGCTGTGTGAACCTATTTTTAAGTATTGTTATAAAATTAAGTACCTACATGGCTAACATTCGACTCCTATTCATTGTGTATAGTATTTCTCGTCAACGAATTTTGCTTTAAGTATTATATTTATTTATACCTGTAGATGTCTTACGTGAGACAAGTGTATTAAAAAAAGAAAATAAAACCTTCGATATAAATCTGTGTTTTTTGTTAATGAACTACGATCAGAAAGATTGCGTGGTGAGTTATAAAAGTATGGATCAACTTTCACGTCAAGTTTACCCGTTTAAATTCATAGGGAAAGCCCCTTGCGACTTGGACTATAAGAAATTCAATTTCTTTGTAATTGCATAAATTCCAATGATATTTCAAGCACAGCGAAATTTAATTTAACAAGGATTCGTAAAAATGTCACCGACTAATCTGAGCCCACATTTTTTTGCTTTAGGCTAGACAGGCGATCGGGATATAAATATGATTATTTTGAAACTTAAAAGCATCAAATTTACTTTTCTGTTTCCAAGTTGTGGTTGTTTGTGTAGTCTGAGAAGAAAGAACACTTTTTTCGCACCGTAAACATCCGACTTTATGACACGTTGTTTCTACGACCACTCAGAATACACTATTAATGTGTGGATGCATTTCATTAAAAACCTTCAAGACGAGTCAAGCAATGCAGCGAAAAACGTGCATTAAGTGACCGTCAAATTAGAAAATCAGAGGCTGGTATGTAGGCAGTTTCCAACTTAAGTGTTCCAAGGTTACGTAATTCTACAGCAATTGTTCTTCTCTAGGGACGAAAGGCGTATTTTTATTTATTCGTTTGTTTGGTACATAAAGTTTTGTAGCTTTGCGCAATTTTCCAGATTTGTTCATTCCTCCCTCTTTCGCTTTGTGGTATAAAGTTTATAAGTGTGCATTTGGGACCAGTTTTGTAATTTTGAATAACCACTAATTTTCAAGAGGATTATACATTTGAATAGGGTCTGATCGATCGTCGAGCCTCGAATTTGGGTCCATTGTATGTTTTCCTGTGTGTGCTTTTCATTAATTGCGAAAACATGCAAAAACTTTCTATAATCTCACTTTGACCAACGATGCTTTTGTGTTTAAAAGTTTCTACACCCAAGTTCTTAATGTTTGTTATTACCGACTTCCTGTGGAGATTTGGAATTGAAAAACACATTCGTTTTATGAAAAATTTTATTTTTAATAACCTGACAGTACATATTATATGGAACAATGAGATTGTAAAGAAATATATCTATATTTATTTACATCTTAAAGTCATAACATTGTAATAAAAACAGCTGATAGAGAATTTTATTTAAAACAAGAAATATTAACTTTTTATAATGATATTTGTTACAAAAATCTATTGTTGAATTTTGGCTCGCATTGCTAACTTGCTTGTAGTTTTTACCGATTTCGGTAGAAACTACAGTTACTTAAACCAATAGAATATAGAGTAAGCGTAATCTATTTTTGTTAAATTTATTAAAAGGTCTGTACTGCGTCAATGATCCATCAATTGTAACATTGAACAAAGAATAGTGCTCAATATTTGTTGAGACTGAATTGAGAAATATTAAAAATGGTGCGCATGATCAACAAAAAGTTTGAGCAAAGTGAGCTATGAACCAGCACACTTTGATGTTTGGTATGGTATAGTTTAAAAAACAAAGACACTTAGAAAGTTGGAATGTACGAGGTGCTATAAAGTGAGCAAAATTGTTGGTATCGAACTAGGAAATCAAAAGTAACTGAAATGTTAATTGACTAATTGCTAAAAGACGCAATTTTACATAATTGAGCACTAACACATTGCGAAATTATTTTTTTAAGTCGAAGATAACTAAAGTATCTATGACACAACATTCATCTAACGAATCAACTGTTGTTGTGTCTATTTTTTCATTACATATATAAACATCCCATTTACTACAAAATAAAACTTTTGTAAAATCTACATTAAATTTAAAGAGGATGGCACATTATTTTAGTTTTGTTACACTAATTACGTTTATAATTTGGCAAATTGCCACTTAACAACGTGAAAATGGGTGTAGTAGGTACCTATAACCAGTAGTTGAACAGTAATAGAAGACATTTTATAACAGTATAGTTTTGTAATATGTAAATATGTAAATTTGGATATGTTGTTGAAATATTAGATATCCTGACGGCATTATAACAACAGAAAGCCAACAATATTGTACATACTACATGTGGATATGATTTCGCACACTATTATCACATTTTATACTATTAGACAATACTCTAACAGACACAATCTCAAAAATTGTCCATGTTTTTTGCAAAGTTTCCTTCATTGTGTACGTACCATATTCGGAACTATTTTTGAGATTTTGAACACCTGCAAACACAAATTCTGGGGAAATTTTATTAATATCTACTCTACAACAATCATTCCCTTATCATTTTCGGCATTAGCACAAGGTGATATTTAAAAAAGTTAAATTACACTCCCAAGGAAGCCAAAACGTATTAAAATCAATGATATGTAGGCCTTACGCGATAAGTATAGTATCTATGAAGACACTTGAATATAATTTGACAGGTTCTTAAAGTTTCTTCTAAGATATAACTGCTAACAGTCTTAAAGTTTCAAAAGTTTAACTTCCTGGGGAGTTTAGGTTATTTAAGTACCAACCACTGGCAATGACTTAAAATTATATGATTGTTTTGCAATGCTCAGTTACTTGTCAGTAACTGTCAACTAAATTATAGTATACGTTTTACTCAAATAGTGACTGTTATTATAAAATGATGTTTTAATGATTGTAAAGTTTTAGAGAAAAAATCGATTGTCGTGTCCATAAGAATGCAGATTATTGTTAAAAGTTAAGATTTTGAAGATAACGATAACTGTCCAAGAGCTGAAGAGCTTAAACGTGAAGTACGTGGTTCAATCTCCAAAGACGTATTATAAAGTTCCTCATCGTCCATTAACAATGAAGAATCTAATAAATAATTAGCAACTTTACGTATCAACTCTATTTTATACGGGGTTTGCTGAAAGTGACGAATTTCTCGAATAACGTGAGCAATCTGAAAATGATCTGTCACCCAAAAACTTCCAACCATCCGAACCTTACCATTCTCATCTTAGAAAAATTTAGGAGACCGTCTTGGGTAAAATTTGGTGTTCCTTCTTCGATAAAAGACAAATCAGTAAGATACAGCCCTAAATATGGTATACATGGTGGATCACATCTATGCAGAGCATCACGCAGTGACCTAAATCGACCGTCTGAGGACACGATATTCTGCAACTTCTCGATCGTTTGCCTGGTCTGGAAGCAACTCCTGTTTTGAAAGCAAAAATGGGGGTCCTACGTACCGTTTTCGACACTTTGTCCCAAGTTTTCTTCAACCGAAAAACCGAACTGTTGGTGAAAGCGGAACAGATTTGCAGAACTCCGTTAAAATTATGCAGACATCTTGAAATATCAGCCACGGCTGCCCATTTTTCTATAGCGGCTACTCTGGCAGTTAATGATGGACGCCGAAGGATTTCAGAGGCTACTAGCCTAGAAACGTCGTTAAAACGTTTGGTCATTAGGAGAATATGTGGAGCTCTGCTGTTCTTGTCGTTTTTCATCCAAGCTTGACCCAAGAATTCTCTAAAACACGCCAAGAATAATTTCATCACTTAGAGACAAACACGACGTACTCGCTAGAAATGGAAATGAAAATTTGGTGGTCGATGTAAGTTAGTTGTTCCGCGATTTCTAAAGCTGACAGAGTTTCAATACTCTCTTTACTTGGAGTCTAGAACAGACAAATTAAATTGAGAAAGACGTCATGACGCTTTTACCGAAGGTGCTGTGATTAATTGGAAGATATCGACTTTGGAACTTTCTGGTTCTTCTTTGGTAAGTAACCGTAGTAGCTGAGCTGCTGCCTTATGCTCGGCTGGGAGAAGATTAGGACTGTAGATAATATCATCCAAAAACTCTATCGTTAAGTTTTTTAATCTTAGATCACTTTCGAAATCTTGGGCATGTTTAGAAATCCAGTGTCTATAAAGTGAGAGCGTTTTAAACCACTCATTACAACCAGACAGATGCAACCTTAACACATTCAGAACCCTCATGGTGCAAGCTGTGGAAATGACGTTCTCCTTATATCTGTTTCGTTCCATTGCAAATTCATCCTGATCCATCATGCTACCTCGTCCATCTCCGCGAGCACTAGGAGACAAATCCCTAGGATTGCTAGACCCCGAAGTGGCAATAGCAAACGCAGCAGCCGCACTTGATGTGCTACTTCTAAAATAACTATAAATTCCCTCATAGAAGCTCCTCTTTGCGACATACCGTCGTTTCGATTGCCGGAACGAGGTGATCACAACTCCCGCCTTACTCGGTTTCTGAGGAGAATCGTGTTGAAAACTGGAACGAGCCGTCGAAGTTGCTTCACCCTCTTGCATCGACCTCCTAGATCCGTAATAACTCTACAAACAACCTTCACGCACTGAAGTTACCACCTGGAAACCCTTACCTGCAAAACGGCACTGGTTGCCGTGGTCGAGATGCTAGCCGACCGCGAGGAACTACATGATGCACGATGCATAGTGTTGAAGAACAGTGTCATATCTTCTATTTGATGTTTAGTTAGCGTACTGTTTCTAAAAGATATGGAAGAACTCACCTTCAGTGTCTTCGGATACTCCTCTTTCGACTTTCTTCTCCATCGGGTCGTGCTTAAGAGAGGGTCTGTGATGGACCGTCGGGGTTGGAGGGGGAGGTTCTTTTTTTGGAGATGTGCTTTTTTTAGGGGAGTGGTGGGGAGAAGCACCCGCTTCGCCTTCATTGGTGTCTGATGGTGAAGATCCTACCAGAGTTACGGAGCTGAGGTTACTAGGAGAGCAGGGCGCACTCAAAACAGTCACGTCTAGGGAAAGTTTTGTTTCGAATTGAGTCTTTGTAAGGAGTACGAAGGTACCTGTCAAAGTTTCGCTACTGCTCGACCCCGTTACTTTGGGTATGGCCAAATGGCAAGTGTCTTCTTGCGTGGTTTCGGACTGTTCGACCCTGATGGAGATGGATTTTTGTGCTGGAGGTGAAACCGATTCTTTTTGGTGTGCCGTCGGACTTTGTTTGATGATTTTAGGATGAGTTTGCTCGTGACTCTCTTCTTCGTCTTAAATGAGAAGGGTTAGACTGGGGGAGGGTGGATTTGGGGGCTTACATTTCTGCAGAGTTGCCTTCCAGTGTCTATGTCCTTGAGAGTCATAGCTGTGAGATCTGTCGCGTTCGCTCATTTCAGAGCCGTACCCTGAGACGGAACTAGCACCGCTTGTTCTACGCGGAGAAAAGCTACTACGCCTTCGATCATCGTACAATTGTAATGTATTTTCGTCTTTGTTGGAGAAGACTTCAAGAGAAATAACAGAGCCTTGCGGTTCAGGATCACTGCTATAGAACACTTTCTTTAAAGCTTCCAGGACAGTAACGCCGTCAGTAAAAACGCGATATGTAAGGAGGAATGTATTTAAGAAGTCTATGGAGAGGAACCTTAAATCTGAAAAGAACTCTGGTTTTTATCCATCACTCGGCGTGATGAATTGTAATGTACCTTCAATGATTGTGCAGAAAGTTGATCAGGGAATGGGTAATCATGCATTACAAGATAGGAACAAATGATAAAAAAATTCCCAGATTATATGGATTTTATAGTAGTCATTGAACGAATTAAGAACACAAGAAATTTTCCTTTTTCATTTACCAGTTAATCTTTGAAGAAGGCGTTCTGGTGTTGCGTATCTTATTTGAGGAACTTTACAAGAATTCATTGTTCTACTGAACCGGATATCTGCCTCATCTTTAAATAGCTTTGGATCGTTCTTCAACGACTGAGGAAGAGTAATGGAACAGTTATCTGACATCGTTGGCCGTATCATATCATTAAACTGAACGTTATCCAAACATTGGCTGATATCGGAAATCCACGCCGCTTTTTCTTGCATTGTCGACGCAAGGAGATGGACAGTCACCTAACAAAATGTCCAACATTTACCAACTTCATTCCAACCACAACATTAAATAAAACGCGCATTATGACAAAGAGAGAATCACGCTGAAATCGCTGACCGACCGACAAAGATAGAAAGCGAGGGTCCTCGGCAAGCCGTTACTAATTTTATTTACCTAACTAATAACGAACCTCTGCCTTTGAGAATTAACATTTCATTTTCAGTTATGTAATTTGATATTTTCAACACTGAAACGAAAGAGGATAAATAAACCGCGAAAAATCGTAAAAGAACATGTCAACAGCGCAACCTAAAAATAAACGCGGTTCTGTCTGCATCGTATAATTTGTCCAATTCCACGTACAGGGTGGCTGCGAAATACCTGCACGCGCTTCTATTTCACGTTCTGTTTTTAGAAAAGCTAAAAATCAAGTAACAAGGTCGTAATAACTGCGGCAAACCCGGACCCCTAACACTCGAAATTTTACTAGTATCATTTATCATTTAACCAATCGTGATTGATCACTGCCACAAATATTAGCTACTGTTAAACGTCAATCAGTTGACAGTATCATCGCTGAACACGAAAACCGGGGTTACTCGTGTGCGGTATTGAATGTCTCCAGGGGACCATTTTAGACAAAAAGTCTTCGTGAATCCGTTTTCAAATTTACCCGCTCCATTATGCGTAAGACTGTAGCCGACTATCGGCATAATTGTTCGATTACGTATGCCGTCGCTCGTTCCGCTTGTCACACTAAGTGCTAAAGATGTATCGACATTTTGCATTTGTAACGTTTGGAAATGGTGGCTTAGGGACGGAGTTAAGATCCATACTTATCCTGGTCTTTCGATAGTCGTCCGTTACGAGAAGTGAAGCTTCCCATTAAAGCATTACTGTTTTCACTTTGCGACTTTCCTCTTACCGGCGTATCGAGGTCCGTGCAAGTCTCGCATTTTAATTATTAAGGTTTAAAAAGCAGGTATGCTGCTTTGCATATTGGAAATTTACTTTTTCCATTACGCGAGCGAAGTTTAAATAGGATCAACGTGACGATTGAATCGAGATGTAACAATAGCTTACGAATTTTTAAAAGCAAGACAATAGAATCATATTTTCGCTCCAAACCAACAAGGTTTGAAGTTTCGCCACGCGCCTAATCTTTCTTTTGTTAAAGGAATAAATTTAAACCGTATTATTTGAGACCGGAATTCTTAAAGTTTCGTCTTTTCAGATGTGAGCGAAAGATTCCGGAATGTTGTATTAAATACAAACCTGTCCGGGTTGAGAACCATTTTTCAGATCGACAATAATTTTGAAGTCCCTGTTGTGCAAGCTGCAGCTGGCTGCCGAGGTTTCAGAAATTCCGGATGACTGACTGGAGACTGAACAAACTGAAGATTCTGTAAATAAGCGTTAATTGCTTTGTAAGTTGTTGACAATTTCATTTACCATCATCTTCGGGATTGTCGCTCGGGTCTTCGATCAACAAAGCATCAGCTAAGGGTATTTTGCCGATATCTGGAACTAAATGGAGTTTCCCACTCGAAGTCCTGAAACACTGTTATTTACTCGACGTAATTAGCAACGGAATAAATTAACACCTTGTGGCGATGATGAGATGATTCGAAAACAAGAAACATTGTCGGAGACATTCCTTTTCACTTTTGAAGTTTAATTTACTCCTTGAACTCCGGTGCTTTTCAGAAGGCAGCTGAATTAAGCTGCCTTGCCGAACGAAAACTTGATTCACGTCGAGCAAAATGTCACAACCCTCCACTACCATTCTCTCAACGGCTAGATTTTTACGGAGATTTTCCGTTTCAGACACCTAAGAGTGTTACGTTAGCGCGAACATATAATCTCACGACAAAATACTTGCGAAAAATAAAACCTTTATTTAAGAATTTAAATTCCGTTACCTACTGTTTAAACATAAACCAAAAGTAGTTTAAATTTGAAGGTGGTACCAATAACGTGACGTCATCGCCACTATTATCCTACTAATAGAATTAATTATCGCATGTCAATTACCTACGGAAGAAGTTGACGTATTTTTGACTAACGCCGACCGTTGGTTCGCGTGTGTTCTGTAAACGGTTTGCTACCGTTTTAAAAAAGGAGTCAACGTGTTGATCTGTCTACGCTTTGGTTTTATTATTCGCAGGTATTTTGCGGTCAGCGAGTGGGCGTTAATGTGCTCGTACTTCATCGTGCATTTGTCTGGAGAGATCCTCTAGCTGTTGTCTGGCGTTCTGTAGACTTTTTCTCTCGACGTGGTCATGCGGAGTATGAGCTAGGAGTTCATGGAGGGTGATGATGTATCTCGGCACCTGAAATATTCATGCACCGAACGGGTCTGGCGCTTGAAATTTAGTTACCTGATGCATAGGATAAGTGAGAAAAGTCTCTAAGGATCTTCCATGGCAGGCAGGTTTACTTTCCAGGCGTTTCAAGAGCGCCGAAAACTGCGGTGATTGTTTGCATTCGGTGAGTACTTGAAGAGAGTAATGGTGGTTCCTCACGTACTCCTGGTAGATACTCAACATAGGAAGCAACATGGAAAAAAGATCTCCTAAAACTAAGGTAGGCCAGCTTTCAAGTCTTGATGTTAACCCTTTGAGGAAAATTTGGTGTAAGAACAGCACGGTTTCGCTGTTGAGGAAGATGGAATTGACATCTTCGTGCGAACAGGGCGGCTTTTTCGAAGAGGCGGCCATCTTGAACGGTCTCAAAAAACAAGAAACAAGAACTTCCATCTGTTCCATGTACTCTTCTTCCGCCTCGACCATCCGGAAAACGAGACTGTTCCTCTTTCGCATGCTCTCGGCGTGAGGAGATTTTATGTATTGCTCGACGATCTGTTTCCAGCGTCGGCGACAGAGCCATCCCCGGAAAAAACTTTGCACTTTCTTAATTTTTCGTAATTCGATCGAGTCTTGTTCGACGTGAGCAAAAGGGCCGGAGACCGTCGAGGTAGACGTTCCCTGATTTGATGTTAAACTGCTTGTGGATTGGTGAGCAGGGATTGGCTTCCATTCTTTTTTCAAAGCAAACAGCTAGACGAAAGTAAGAGAGTGAGTGGAATTTATTCAAAAGAACGTTTTTATTTCACTTTTCAAACTACCGAACTCAACTCGGATGGAAGAATTCTCTGAAAGCTCGGTTTTATTTCCCAAATGATTTACCGTACGATATGATCTAAAGACACAATTCGCCACCGAATTTCGCGGGAGAAAAATGACGAATAAATAAACAACGTTTCTGATTAAGCTCGCGAAACGCTAAATCGACACGTCTGAATTACTAACAAATTACCTCAGCTCGCAGCTTTTTGATTTCCGAAGCCAGCTCTTCGCATTGCTGTGTATATTGCCATTTTGCTGTTTTTTCAGACTCGACGATCTGCAGCAAATGCAAATGTTTTTGCTCCAGTTCTTCCTTTTGTAACAACAACTTGTTAAAACTGTAAAAATAAAATCTATTTTTAAAATTGACGAACGCTGTAGGGAGACAAATGGTGGATGCGCCGGGTCTTCGACAACAAAACAATAAATTAACTTCTCTAATTTTATTCCAAGAGAAAGAGGAACGTGAGCCGTGCTAAATTAATTTTTTGACTTTGAAGAATCTCACTCGAATTTTGTTTAATTTCGCTACCATTAGTGACACCGTGGTGAACTTAATTGATGAAGTTTGTCGGTGCCGAATTCCAGTTTCGTCTCGGATAAAGCAGTCGTCGACGTAAAATATTAAATTGCGTTTCTCCACCACAATGGAAAATTTAAGTTTAAACCTACAGGGCTGATAATTGGGCGAGTTTAAACAACAAAGATAAATCGCTTCAATACGTTATTTGTCGCCAAGTGAACTCGCCGTTTCACATAGTAAAACAGTACCTAATTCCATCAGGATGAAATTTTATTACCCCAGGGAAATGAATGGAAAGCTCAATAAAATGCAAAATGATGCCAATTAATAATCGTTTTGAATTTCAGTCTCAGTTTTAAAATGAAGGGTCAGTTATGAGCAAGCGAATTATTTCCATCGTTGCAATTCGTGACGTTTCCTTCAAACCGACGCAATTAGAGATGCTTCATTTTTTTCCTACACGCGTTCTCGCTTCATCCATAAATAAAGACCAGACCGAAACGTATTTGGGTCAGGAATATGACCTCCTTTTCTGGTTCATGATAAGGATAAGCGTGCCACACATTCCTAAGACGTCAAAAACATATCCCCGGTAATCCGTCTGCCCGACCTCCCTTTGAAGAACTCAAATCCAGAAAACCAAAAAGAAATTAAAGACGCAAAACATCCCGTGATTTTCTTTTAAACTTCACCCTCGCTTTTTATTCGCTCCTTCGCACGATACTAACTTATGTGTTGCACAATGAGAAATCAGCAGCTTTTCCCATTACTTCTCGTTATGCGACTTACTGGAGTTACCAACAGCTTACGCAGACACAGCAAGGGTTCCCTCAAACTTACCTAATTCTTTCACTCTAAGTAAAAAACATCGTTGATAAATAGTGAGAAAAGCACTAGATTAGTGTCACCCTTGAGGATCACCGGTGAAACAAAAGTACCGTTCGTTTATTACTATTTACCGAAATATATGTATCGGGCGCAGATTTGTACTTCTTAAATCCACGCCGTTTGTCTTGCGCCATCTTGTCATTTATCCCGCCGGCATGACGCATCGTTCCGTCGAAATGTTGACGAGAATTCTGAACGCCTTCTTAAAATAAAATACCTAGAGCTTGAAATTAACTTGCGTGAGGAAGAAGAATTGCGGTTCTGTTTTTGATGCTTTATTAGATAATTTCGCGAATAAATTGGCATAAAATGAAGCTTTTTGCTTTTCTTTTGGTCGTGGAAAATTCCACTCGCGATTCTTTGCCGACAGGGGAAAAAATACGTGAGCTTTTTCCTCGTTTGTTTGCTATTTAAATCGTAATAGTTTGGTGATCAAACATTTTAAAGAGGGCGAGTTACGAATTAATTAGCGGGAAGTAACAAAAATGCTCGTTTCACCGACTGCGCCAAACAGGATGTTAATAATAAAAAATTGAAGTAGATTTTTTTATATTATGGAGGTACCCAGCGTTTGTGTTGCTTTTCCAGCATTTGCGCTACCGTAATAAGAGCTAAAGTCGCAAAACCCATTAGCAATTTTAATCGTTCTGCTCCTCTCTGCAGTGTTTTTCCTCAGTGCAATTTTTCTCTTTTGTCCTGTGCGTCCAGCTCTTTGTAGCATGCTCCTCCACATCATAAAATCGCAAAATAAAAGAGCAACTCGAGATAAAGTTCGCTTTGTTTCAAGTAACACATCATTGTGTTACCTACGGCGGTTTTTGACGTGTGCAAAAATCAAGCGAGTTTGGTGTGAGATAAAAATAAGCTGGTTTCCTGTTCGATAATTAAAATGGTTGAAAAGCGTTGCACTCACGCGAAAAAAAAAATTTTAACAGATCACGATCCGGAAAGGTTTTTGTCGAAAGAATAAGCAAAACAACTCTGCTGGTGACTGGATTTTGCGTATTCAGAGAGGATTCCTCACAACTTCGCAAGTTTTCGACGGAAAAAACACACAGGGAGGAATTTTAATACAGGAGATTTATGTATCAGTAACTCCGGAGCAGGAGCAGCGATCCGATTATAACGGCCGAATTTACTTTTTAAAAGAGACTTGGAACTTGCTAATGCTGCTTTTTTCACCTGGATACGCGTTGTCAAATTAGTTTTTAAATCGGAAATCGCGGAGCGAATTATCGAAGCGGAAGAGCAACGAGTGGAAAAAATCATTTATGTATCCCTTGGCAACATTTAACTTATTCAAAAAAAAAGAAACTTAATATGTATTCGTTGGTTGCAAAATTTTCCGACCAAAAATGGTGGATGCGCCAGGCGAATTATTCCGCTGAAATTCCTATGAATATTAAAATAAATTATAATTTGCGCTGTTGCTAACAGTCTGATTTATTTTTAAAAAGAATGCAAGGTTGTTTTTCATTAGAATGCCTGTGGAATTTTTTCTCGAAAATAGTGAACTCGTGGGGGAATTATCTCAGCGTGCTAAAAGTTGGAGTCGCTACGAGTGTTAGAATCACTTATAATTCATGCCTTTGGTTCGATTTTACTTTTTAAACGTTGCCGTGATAAACCTACGTGTCTCTCCAAGTTTACCTTGTCTTGGAAGCTTGTTCATAATAATTGTATAAAGCTGTGTTCCTAAATAAGTTTTATTTGTGACCCTAAAACTTACCTTGCGTCTCGAATAGCTTCGATCCAGTTTTTACAGTCCATTTCATTCAAAGCTCTTAGCTCGTACTGACGAATATTCTCTCTTCTGTAGGATATAGCGAAACAGTACTGAAAACAACAAATCTCATAAGAACATTACGTTGAAGAAATTAGCTTTGGAGAGAAATTGCTTTGCTGCGATTTAAATTATAGTTGTCTGGGGAAATGAAAACTCTTTATATGCCGCGTAATCAATAAAATGTTAGATGGCAAGAAAAGAGGTTTAAATCTTTTAGGGACGGATTTACTAATGACGTGTAACATGAATATACTTCCACGAATACCATTTTACTGACTAATGAGCTGCAATAAACAAGTATTAATCCGACTATTGCATTTCAAACCCAATTAAAAGTTGATATCATCGAACAAAAAGCCGTTTAGTGGGCCATGAAATTTAATTTTAAAATAACGTGGTTGGCACTGCACTTTATTTTACATTTTTTTAGCCATAACTGTCAAAATGAACAAATATTCATCAAAAGATATACTCTGAAACAATTATTATAATAAAAAATTGGAAGAGTGCGTCGACCCAGGGATGCACGGATGGAGTTTTAACTCTGTTGTCAATTTATATAAATTAAACACGTATACGCGGCGAAGTTATTAATTTTCTCTTAAAAAATAAAAGCAAACTATCATGTAAAAGGGAGGTTATGACATAATATTCTTTCTATGATTAAATTCACACTAGTTTATCTATTTTCTCTCTATGTTCAGACTGGTGTCGGTACGGAAAAACGTTAACTCGTAGCTCGGACTCAACATCCTATTCCGGCGTGTGTCGTATATGTGTTCTATAATACGAAAAGAAATGAGTTAAAACTCCAATGAAATGATTAACAGTAACCCACGTCAACGGTATTCTTCATTGAATTTTGTTTTTTGTAAACGTGTTTAGTACTAATTACTTCGTGGACCCTGTCCCTTTTCTCACAATATAACTAGCTGAAAACGATTTAGTAAAGTTTCTGCCTAATTTGTGCTTGTATGAGCCCAATATTTTTCGATTGAGCAAAGTTCTAAATAGTTTGGCTGGTTATAGGTTTTAGTAGAATTTCTATTGAACTTTGGTAATGCCAATCTAAAACCTGACCAGAGTATATGGAAAAATCTTGCCAAAATAAAGTTAGTGGTTTGAGTCTGCTAATAAGTGTAAAAACACAAGTCAACGACAACAGATCTAACCCTTCCATAAGGGATAGTAATTATTTTAGTTTACTACATTTACTAAAGTATAATAGAGGGCTTTCATAACCGATCCAAGCGGGTTCCGCCTTTTTCGAACATATGACATATTAACCATATTATTTAAAACGTTAAAAATGTTTATCGTTACTAAGCAGTGACAAATATAAGAAACATTTATGAAAACTGTATAATAACATCCGTGATTTTACGTTTTGTGGACAACTAATTCCGCCTGAAGACCATGAGTGTGAAAAATGTAGTGCAAACACAGCTCGAGCGCCCAGCGAGCCGTTGAGTCGGAACATTAAATACTTTCATTAGCAAGGCGCGAATGGTGGTTGAATTTTCGTAAAAATTCACAAAATACCACTCCATCGTTCATGTTTCAATTCTAATACGTCTTACGTGCCACGTAAATCAATTATGCGATAAACCTATCAAAAACGCAAATAGACAGAAGGCAAACGAGAGAGAGAGAGATGATAAATGCTACCATAATGAAGGCGTTTGAAAAGCCAACACATACATAGTGTGTTCTTGCACAAATACTGGAAACTCGCTTCTGAATATGCTAGGGTGAAAGGAATACAGCTGGTTTGTGTATGCAACGAAAAATACACAGAGGGGTAACGTTAATTCTCGATTAAGCTATTTGTGACAACTTTGTTCGTCTGTTTGTTCAAAATTTTAATGAACTTTCCAAGTATATACATTGAACGTCGATGAAGACGTCATTATTATTAATTTCCCCAAAATTGGACGGGGTGCAGAATCGTTTTTCCCGGCTTTGTACTTACTTAATGTTTAAGGTCGGATTAAGCAAAGTTATAAAATTGCTTTTGAATTCCTCGGAAGTTTTGTGAAGCCTCAAGGTGGTTTCCGCTTACTATGAAAATGAAGTTATCCGTGAAAGTTGAAAAGTGTGTTTTTGCGGGTATTTTCTGACTAATTAAACTCAGTCATGCGAGTGCTTTGTTCTATAGTGAGAATAGGTATTTTGCTATTATGCAACCAACAATACCACGTGTAATATCTATACGTTACCAAATATTAATTGCTTCGGTGCTTTGTACGTATTAACTAATTTCCTGTCAACTGACTCGGGCCATTTCAAACAAATCTACTAATAAGGCCCCTTTAGAACACAACACGTTTTTAATGATTTTAGCCTGGGTTTCAAGGTAACTTTTGAAAAGTCAAAATTTTAAAAAATATATCCTGTTTTATCAAACGTGAATATGGTTTTGGCTAAGAAAAGTTACCATTTAAAAACACTTAAAATTCGTCTTTTTACCCTGTTTTTTCTGTTGGGTAATTTCAGCACACGTATGAATACGATTTCGGCCAAGAAAATTCACTTGAATTTTGAAGGTTTTGAGAACCTTTGTTTTTTTAATCATTTTGTCCTGTCTTTAAAGGTACTCTTTTTTAAAAGTCAAATTTTATTGAATTTACACTGTTCCAAAGAGAGCCGTTTTTTAAAAAAGTCAAAATTTTAAGAAATTTACCCTGCTTTATCAAACGTGAATACGATAAACTTTAAGGACATCGAATGCCTACGTGTTTTGCATTTCGATCTAGACTTGAATATGCGTTTGTTGTTTGGTGCCCGTACCTACAAATTCACATCGATACTTTGGAAAAAATCCAACGGTGTTTTTTGAAAAACTTGGCCTTTAAAGTGGATGGTTTATACCCCAGACAGAGTATACCGCACACCGTTCTTCTAAATAGGTTCGGGTTTGAAGATTTAAATAGTAGACGTATTAACTTTTCGCTTAATTTTTTTAGAAAATTGTTGCAGTCCCAAATTGATTGTCCTAATCTTCTAAGTAAAATATGCTTTACTATTCCTAGGTTATCTTCTCGCACCTATTGTTGTGAGAAGCACTCGCCTATTTATGAAATGTGGATAAAATGTAATCAAGAGAAGAACGACTTTGATCTACTCCTTTAGCTATACTACATTTTGTACGCTACTTTTTTGTCCTCTTCACGACCTACTTGGACTCTAATATCCACAATAATAATTATTAACTTTTTCAGTTTTGTAGTGCATTATATTTAAAGTCAGATTAAACTCTCCTTACTGTGAGGCTAGTAGTAATTGTAGCTGCTGGAACTCTAGTTCAGCTTAAATCGACTGGATTTATCTTTTTATTTATATACTCTTTTATTTTAATAATAACAGCAAAGTTCAACTGTAATTGGGCATAAGCCTGTCGTTCAACTTAACGTAATAATAATAATAATAATAACAAAAGTTAAAATTCGCCTTTTTTCCCCCCGAATTTTATTGGGCCACGTCAGCATACACACTTTAAATTAACAATATAAATATTTATCTATTATTTTGCTTATGGTGGAGATACGCTAGTTGATGGTAGAGAGGGCGTGCTTTTTGGAGGAGATGGTGAGAGTGATGATTCTGGTCGGGGCCTTAATCCCTTCTGTGTACTTGCAAAAAAAATACAGTTTGTATTGTATTGTGTGCGTTATAACAAAGGCAAGATGTTATTTTTAATACTATAATGCTACTTTAAATTCACATTTTGCAAAATTTCTCCATTGTCTCTTGGGGACCAAACTTTTAAGTCACGTATTTTCCGCTTAGTTGAAGGCGTAACTGGTTTCTGTCCATGTTACTGATCACAATTTCATTTTTGTAGTAGAAATCGTCGTAAAAAGATTTCAAGAAGTAAACGAAAGGCCGCTTTAGTATTGCGACCATACACTTGATGTGTATACTGTGTTGCATATGTTATTAATTTCACAAACTTCTTTGTTCGATAAATAAACAAAGTTAATATGTATAAGGAGGTACATTATTACTATTATTAGTGCGATACTTGATTTAATTTCTTCTAATATTCCTTGAGAATGAATATCAAACATGTTCAACTGAAATTTATCAGTCCAAACAATTCTTTTAGAACGCAACAATCATAGACAAAACAAACAAATGTAAATGTAAAAAAAATAAAAAAATTCTAAAAAATTCTATTCATTCAACTGTTTCAATCGATGCGTACCACTTATCGACAAGTTTTTAATGAATTTCAAAATTATATGATTTGTTTAATAAATTTTTCCAATTACATAATATAATAAATTATACATTATTAATTAACTATGAAGAGGATTAATACAAAAAAAAAATATCATAGTTTTCTAGAATAACTGTCTTAATTTCGGAGGCTTTCACGGTCGGAATCAATACATGATCGTTTTCCGGGTTGGAACCGTGTGAATTGAGTTTTTGGGCTCAACGTTTCGCACACTTTCGTAAGTGGCATCTTCAGGAGCAGGGTTAAGAATAAGGCAAAAGAGCACGGTAACTCAGTATGTTAACCATACCAGAGGTGAAACTCTTTTGACTTAATTTTTAGAATACTTTGAGAATCATTTTTTTAAATCATATTACTGAGTTTGGGTTTAACAATATTTGCAATAGTTTCTGCATCATATTATCGTTGACTTTATCCACAGCAGTATGCAAAGCACTATTCCACTTTGTGGACGCTGACGTTAAATATTGTAAATTAACAGCATAACCTGGATTTTCTGGTTGTTTTACATTAATTAATTTGTGTCCTGCGGTATCATAATCACCATTTTCTTTTAAATTAAATCCTGTACCAGGCGGTCATCTTATTGATTTACCCCCTTTTTTTCTGTTTACTCTAAGAATATATTCAGATGTCATTTATGGGTGTAAAATTATTTCTATATTTCATTTCTGGATTTTTGAAATCAATCGTTAAGCAATCAAAATTTTTGATGTTATTTTCACCTAGACAAGCCTCGAGCGGATTACCGGAAGTCTCGATTGCGGCGTCCAGAAAACGCTCGAAGCGGCGTACGCTAAAGAAAGG